TTGCCTCGCATCTCCTGAGCTAAAAGGATGCTTGCTGCAGTTGCCTTACCTGAGTGCCCCACAAGTCCTACAATCAGAAGCACTTGGGGGTCTGTTCTGGATCTCCTTGCGAGCTGTACTTCGTGGGAAGGGATGCGGTACAGGTGGATGGGTGCAAATGCTCAAAAACCTGTGGCACATGCTGCGATACTGGAGATCTAGCTGGGGTAATAACAGGGAATAATACTCGCCCTCGGGGAGTACGAGAAAGACTTCATTTTCCAGCCGCGTTTCTCTTTTGGCTGGTGTTTCATGGCATAATAAGGGATGAGTCAATGTATTGACAGTTATTGTTCAGGCTGGCAGGTGATTGCCAATAAATGCATTAAAGGAAGCTCAGCAGGTCTAACGCACGGAATGAATGGCAGGGAGGGAAGAATCCCCGTTCTGCACGCTGGACTGAATGCTGCCAAGCCAGAGGTCCTGCAGAAGCCGCATGCTGCTTCATCATCGCCCCTGCCAAAGCATCTGCCCCGGGAAGGACCCTTCTAGCCGTGCTAGGCTGACGAACATCCGAACCCAGGAGGTGGGGAGCGGGAGCGTGCCCCTCCAGCCTTGGTGTGGCCAGTGGCCACAGCTCTTCCATCATGCCCATTGAGCTTGTCCCTCTGACATGACATTGGACCAAGTTACGGGGCCATGGAATACTGGGGAGGGGACACTAGGAGGAGCAGTGGGGTGGAGCCTCATGGGAGATGCTCTAGCTTACTAGAACCCCAAACAGGGCCATCCTGCAGCATTTTATGTCCGGTCCCACCTTGCCCCCTGCAAATCACTCAGGAAGAATCTTCCCCTTCGGCCACCAGAGGCCTATCTCTTGTCCTTTGCTTCCGTTGAGGAAGCATCAGCCAGACCTGTGGGGCACTATCCTAGCAAAGAAATGACCACAGCTTGCCCAGAGGTGCTCTGCTCCAGAGCCACATTTGCCAGGAGAGCCTCACTTTCCGCTGCCGGTGGAACGCTGCACCTTGGAGCTTTCTGTGCTGTGCGTGAGTCATGGGGTCGGTATCAATTTAGCAAAGCAGGATTTTATTTCCTCCCTGTGGGAGCCCTGTAGGGTAGCTTCTGAAGGCATCTGGGCACTGCTCTTGTAAGTGCAGCTACCCTTCGGCATATGAAATACTGCTTTAGTCTCCATTAGGAGCATTTTACGTTCACCCTAGGAGTGCTACTTGCGAGCAGCTCTCGCTCTTTTTGTCCTCCTTAATGCTGGCAAGAAATTACTTTTCTGTGAACTGAAAGGAAGAAAAAAGATAGCCAAGGTAGGGCAAAGCCAGGAATTCTTGTTGAATGTGAACTAATGCTGTAGTGATCAAGAGATGAACAGAGGTAGCGACTCAGGCACTCTAAAATCATCAGTATCAGTTAAATGACTGCACTCATCATTCCCAATAAGTGTTAGCCCATGTGAGCCACTATCAGGCAAGTCAATTTAATCTAGGATGTGAATGCACTGCTGCAATGGCTCCCATGGTGGACCTTCCCAGGATGGGCTGCACCACTCTCAAGGGGAGCATCACCAGGCAACTGCCAAGGACCCATTGCGTCCTCTTCTCCACCACAACCTGGTTGCTCACCTACTGCTTGTTCTGGTTGCTCACCTGCTGCTTGTTCTGGCCCAGGTAGCAGTGGCCATGATGGGGAAGAGGAGCAGTGGCAGAAGATAAGCCAGCAAGTGGTGGCAGGGATGAGGAAGGAGGTGAGGAGCACGTGCATATGGTGACCAGAGCACTGAGAACGTCAGCTCCTTGCAGGAGGGGAGCCCTGAAGGTCTCTTGTCCAATGGCCCTTCGAAACCTGGGATGAATGCTGAGAGTAGTGTTCACACAAGCTGAAAACAGAACCCTTTCTCTGAGTCAATCTTTTCCAATCTCACATTCCCAGATGTTGTTTGATAGCTCCCTGGCCAAGGTGGATAGGAAAAGGAGTCTAATTCCATCTGAGAAGTCAAGATTAAGAAAGACTCCTCCAGGCTAAATTGTTCAAAGGTAATTTCTAGAGATGCAGTATTTTCCAATCTCATACATGACTTATATTTCTAAAATTAGGTAAGTTGGTTTCCCGAAGCTGGTACCCTCTAGGTCTTTGTACTACAAAGGGCATGATCCATGGGCATTGCAGGATGGGGATGATGTCAGTTGTAATTCAACAGATTTGGAGAGTGCCAGATCATCTCTAATATTACTGCTACACAGAGTAGTCCAACTGAAATGAGTGGGGTTTCATGTCCCATTCATTTATGTGGTTTTACTCTGTGTAGAAATAACGTTAGCTGTATTTTCAGGTTGAGATTGTCTGACGTAAATAGAGCATGGCACTTCAAAAGTTATAGCTTTGTTTTTCTGGCTTTTTCCGACAAGGAAGCATGGATGACGTCACTGGTGTCAATTCCCCTTTCATCTCCACAGTCAGATAGGTCAAGCAGCAAGGTGATCGAAATGTTCTTGCACCACAGCAGAACAGCTTCAGTTTTTGACGGATGCTCATTTGTGGGGTGTTTTCTGTCTTTGCCACTGGTAGGTTGTGAACTGAAAGCAAGATACAGTGACAAAAATCTGTAGGGCTTTTTGCTCCCTTGGTTGAGAATTAATCACAATTGGCTGTTGTTTTACTGTTGAATCTGGCTTAACAAGAATGCCACCTGGAAGTCTCATTTCATGAGATGGAAAGGTGCAATATGAATAAGTTAATATACTGTATGTGTTCAAGGGATGTGAAAGCAATTCATGTTGTCCAAGCAGGCTTGGGAGATTATATATTCCAGATTCAACACAGGGAAAATCTGTAGGAACCTGGAGACTTCTAGTTCATAATATACCGTGTCCTCTAGGGTAGGGTGGATAGAAAGTAAGTCAAGATCTATTGTTAGATTGCTGGGTGGCTTCTACTGGATTGGCAAAGAGTCTTGACTCCTTCAACAGTAGCAGGGTTGGCTCAAGTCCAACCTCTTGAGGCAGCTGGACAGGTGCTATCACAACTGCCTTTTCTCTACCCACCAGCAGCTACCTCCCCTTCACTATCTATATCCCCCTCCATGAGCAGGTTCCAACAACATGATCACCCACATTCAAGGGTTGACTATGAGTTGTCACTGAACCATGGCTTCTTACTGAAACATTACTACAGTACTAGCAAACCATGGCTTGTTAACCAAGAACAAACCACGAAAACTCATGATTTGTTGTTAGGCTGTAAACTATGGATTGTTCACCATGGGTTCTTATCTCACCTGGGTTCAGACAGCATAACAAGCCATGTCTCAAAAACTACCCATGGTTCCATGACCATGGTTAACCTGTTGTCTGAACCCAGTCAGTACTCCGCACTGACAGTCCTTTCCACAGCTGAAGAGCAGGGCCACCTCACCCACAATGCCTTGTGATAAGGAATGGCCCCTCAAAGTAGGGCATTTGGGCCTGGCAATCTCTCTAGAATCCACTTTCCTGCTCCCAAGAACTGCACTGACTGCTCCAGAGATTCACACCGGCCACCTCCATGTTGCTGTGTTTTCCACTGAGCAAGGTGGCAGAGTTTTGAGACACCCTGCTTCGAAGGGCGAGTCTTATTTCCCATGTGTGTTGGACATCGCCCTCCAGTCTGATCTGATGAAAGGCAGCCCGGAAACCATTTAAGAAAATGAAGAAGGTCCATATCTGGTCCAGCTGAGAGAGTGGCCAGGATCTGGGGCAGCAGGGCTGGTGTAAAGGGGGCCCGGCATGGGGCAGGTAATGGCCGAGTGCGGGACCATATCCGGGTTCTGCTTTGGCGCCTTTTCCTCACCCAACCGTATTGTGAATGCTTCTCATGGGCAATGTATTTGCTAGCACAGGAGAGGAAAAGGGTCATTTTTTGTAACTGTGGACATGCTCTAGTTGGAAATATTTGTGCTGCAAACAAGAAATCGAGAGGTGATAATCTTGAAACCTGTAACTGTAAACTGAGCAAGGCAACAAGTGAGCTTTACTGGTCAGGGTTCCTTTCTGCATACTTAAGTGATAACCCACAAGGGGCAGCAACAACAACAACAACAACAACAACAACAACAAAGTTAATCACTGTGCTTTACTGAAGTGTAGGCGTCCTTCCCTCTTTTTTCCGGCTTGCATAGAAGAACAAGCCGCATGCTATAGACAGAATTATTGGATACAATCCAGCCAAAGGTAAGCACTTTATACCTCATTGATTCCGGTGGGAGAGTTAAGTGTGTGCCTAAAATAGCTCCAGTTGTATTCCATGAGGCTTTAAGATGCTTCTCTGCCTGAGCTGTGCTTGCTCCGTTTAGGAAGCACCTTTTCCTCATATGCACCAAAAGCAGGCTAAAGACAAGAGCTGCAGCCTTGCGCCAGGTCGAACTCCTTACGTCCCACTGGGAGTCAGTGGAATTTAGCCCTCCTAATCACCCACCAGCTTGCTGCCAAAATATGAATCATTCCTTAAAAGCCTCCCAGGTTTTTTTTTCATGGTGCTCCGCTTATACACAGCAGCCTCAATCCAACAAGTGCCACTAATGTCCAAGTGCCAGTGGAATCAAAGAGGCTGGATTTGGTGGCAATGAATTTGTTTCATTGGTTTCGGTCTGAGTTAGCCATGCCTAATTTTATCCATAGTGGAGCCATTGCAATGATGCACTTCTGACATTTGCAAGGGTTTGCCTGCATTTTTGTTGGGGCAAGAAAAATTGAACTGTTCTAGGGTGCAAAAGGTCTGCATACCATTTGCCCTCCCTGATGATCAACTACACCCTATTAGTAGTTACCTTTGTGTAACCTATGGGGTTTGCATCTGTGTGTAGGGTTCGTCTATTTTCCCTCAATTAGTTCTTCATTTTAATTGCTAGGATCCTACCAGGCTTCTGAATTTCCCGGTGGATGTGACCTTCAGCAAAGTTTACAATGTTTCTTTGTTGATGGGATCTGATGATTTAGATATTAATTTGTTTTCTTCCTACCCACGTGAAACCTTCATTTTCCAAGGTCTGCACTGAAAGCAGACGCAAATATTTCCTTGTCCTCTGACACGACTTCGCTTGTCGCAGCTAAAAGCAATGCAAATGCAGAATCAGGATTCTGAGCGAGCTCGTCCGGTTTGCCAAATTCGGCTACCTGAAAGTCATCAGGAACGAGATATAACAAATGTCAGATGCATTAGTAAATGTCAAGTATGAACCAAGACTACAGTGGGTTTTTATGAGTTTCCTATCATGGAAAAAATGCCCTGGGGAAGGAGAATAGTGATGGAGGGTTTTTTTCCCTCCTCCTCCTTCTTTTGAAGGAGCATTATTAATAGGGAATAAGGATCTTGCCCTGTTGTGTTCTTCTATCACAGGTGTGCTCTGCCCCTTTGCCCCTCCTTTGTATAGGAATGTTGGACATCACTTCTGGATTTGCGAGCATCTGGAATTTGCCCCAACTTTCAGCCTCTTTAGTTCAGATGCAGGCAAAGTGAGAGAGTCTGACTGGGGTTGTGGAGCAGGAGAAAGGAAGCTCTGACCCTTTGGCCCAGCACCAAATCCCCGCTCTCCTCTTTGTGGATTACAGCAGGGTGAGAAAGATTCAGGCTGGCATGGTCAACGGTGTTCTTTTTACTACAACCCCCGATTCCATCAGATGGGCTCCTGGTACAACAATGTGTGCTTGGAACAAAATGACTGCTACTTTCAGGAGTTTGCTTTGGGTACAGAACCAAGAGCTCATAGTCCTTCTACAGAAGTATCCACGCTTCGTCTGTTCTTCATCTCAGCATTATAATTTTGGCTTGCGGGAGAGGTTATTTCATTACTGGTTTTGTAAAAGGATCATGGGGCAGAAATCTGGGGCAATCTACTGCAAATCACCCCCAAATCTACTGGAAGAAGCCACCTCATAGTTTAAAGAATGAGGAGGAAAAGTGTTTGACCAAATCGGGGGAACTTCCATGGTGAGGGACCAATTCTTCCCTCCACCTGAGTCCCAACACTGCCTTCACCCTCCTTGGAATTGCTACAGTGCCACCAGAATCTGGTAGGGCCATGAGAAAAAAATCTTCTGATTTTTTAATAAAAAAGCAAGTTGACAGGGCATACGTTGCTCAAAGCAAACCTGTGTGCCCTGGAGGAGGTGCATAAAGTCAGCCAGAGTGTTGCCCAGTCCTGGCTTAGAGTCCCAATTCCCATGTGCCTTGACTGTAAGCCAAAGAGACCATGTCTGACCCTCTGGTGTCACTATGAGGACCTTATGAGTGGCTTTGATTTCTCTGGTTCAGTACCTTTCCGCTGTCCATCACCAGAACACGGTCACACTCTTGGATGGTATTTATACGATGAGCAATGGTCAAGACCGTGCAATCCACAAAAGCTTCTTTTATGGTCCTCTGAATCTGTAAGTCCGTCTCGGAATCAATGGAGGCCGTGGCCTCATCAAGAAGTATAATCTGCAGGAGAAGTAAACCTCCGATCACAAGTTTAGAAGATGCCCCTCATCTCTAGATCAGCACGGAAGGGCGCCAGTAAGAAAAATAATTCCCAGACCATATAAAGTGAGATTCCTGTATCTCCGCACAAAATCACATGGCGGATTTCCAGGGGACTTCTTCTTACGTGGGAGTGCATTGCCATGTGGAAAGGTGAAGTAAGCATCTATGCTGCACTTGCTGGAAACTTGCAGATCACCCGGATGTGCGCACATGACGAAGCACATAATGGGTGCACCATCATGGCACATGACGGTGCAAGCGAACGACCCCTGTCCTTCCAGAGGATGCTGGTTTGCCTCTCCCAGCAGTCCTAGCCAAGGTCGCTCAGGGGGAGGAATGACGAGTCCAGCAATATTTGGAGAGACACTTTGCCCACCCCACTTTAACGTACTGACAGGTGGGATCCCAACAGGAATGCTTCCGTCTCCCCTTTGTGGCAAGTTTTGTCTTACCGAAGGTTTGCTTGGCATCTGCTTAACATTTTGCTGTTCACTCTGGTGTAACATTCTGTGTTTATAGTTAGGATAAATATATCTTTTAACAGCAACTGTTACTGCTGGAATATAAGTTCTCCCTTCTACTCAATTCTTCTGGATTCAGTTTATTTAGGGCTCAAGCCAGTCCTACAAAGGCATTTCAGGGCCTGCTGTCCCTTCCTCTTGCTGCCATAGAAGTGCACGGGCAACCAGTATCTCAGACTGCGATTGGCTGCATCACAGAGAGAGGTGGAGAGAGTCCCCCTCCATCAGTCCAACTGGGACCAACTCCTGTTTGGTTCCCAGCCTTCATGAACCGTCCCTGACAGTGGGTCCTCCCTTTCACTGCAGCAGAGAGGAGGGCGAGTCAGAAAGGCTCCTGGTCAAGACCAGCTGTTATTCAGCTTCCCCCTGTCCCTTCTGGGCTCCTCAAACTCCCTGTCATCCTCCCTTCTACAAGGCTGCAGCAGAGGGAGAGGGGAGAGTGAGAACCCCTCCGTGGGCCTGAAGGGAGCCATTTGCTTCTCCTGCCTCAGAATTCTCTGCATCAGCAGCCATCCTGTGTGGCTGCAGGAGAGGGCAAGGCAAGGCAGTGAGGACCCCACCACTGGCTCAAGCGGAGCCACTGGATTCCTCACCTCCCACCTTTTTGCCTCTGAGGAACCCAAGCTGGCTGGAAATGTTCCTCCTCCCTCCTGTTAAGCAGGCTGAGAACCTGTGGTTCACCTGAGCTCCAAGGCTGAGTGGGAACTACGGCTCAAACATCCTAAATCCCAATCCAGCTGTCTACCCACTACACCTCCCTACACCGGCTTTCCCATTATCTCCATCAGCAGCCATTCTGCTGAGCGGCAGCGGAGGGAGAGGCAAGGCCGTGGTGCCCACTTGACTGGCCGGGCTTCGTCCACTTGGCTTCATCCCTCCCAGAACTGCTTCCATCAGCAGCCGTTCCTCCTGGTCATTCAGGGACTTCACTGCTCAAAACATTGAAATGCCTGAATCCTGCCCCACGTATAAGGTTACTATACATTAGAAGCCACCTGTGGTGCCTTGCTGGAAAGGCAGTCTACAAATACAATATCAAAGATAGAGAGGTCTTTCCAGCCCTGATCATGCTGAGAGAGGGGCAGAAAGTTGGGTGGGGATTTAGGAGCAGTGTTCAGATCTCCTACTTCTTATTATGCTTCACCCATGCTTGGGCACATGCCTGTATCTGCACTCTGCCAAAAGGGGGAGGTTCAGTTCTCCGCCGTGGCCTACAAGGATCTGACTCCACAGGCAACACGATCCAGGGTCTGTGTGAAAAGTAGGCATGACTGGGCACTTGCTGAGGGACCACACTCCACCAGCGGTCCTCAGGTGGAAGGTCCCTGGAGCTGCTCCTCCTCAGGACCCCTGCAAGCTCCTAGTTCACCCACTTGGAGCATTGGCCCAGCCATCAGTGATGGTGCTTGAGAGGCCACCATCTACCTGCTCCCTGGCGCTCTTCCTGCAACGAGGAGATAGCCATGCTGAGGAAGGGGAGGAGGTGCCATCGCAGTGAGAAGGAGCTGGGGGATTGGAGGGTTGCTTTCCTCCAAAAGCTGCAGCTGCCATGGATGGGACTGAGCCCCTATAAATCACTCGTTGACCCTGAGACTGGCAACATTTTAGATGCTGCCACGGATGCTCCATTGGCCAGATGGCCCAAGCACAGTGTGAGAAGACACAAATGTCTCCGGGATGGTACACATTTTGAGCAAGACCTTTGTGAAGATATTGGTCAGGAAGGATGAAGTATCTCAGTGTTTAGAACAGTTTCTATGATCAAATGTGACTGAGGCTGAGCTGGAGCCCCAAACAGTGTCTATTTAAAAAGGAAATAGTTGGATTTATTATGAGCTAGCCGAGAGAAAGCTGACATTTTCCGAGCAGAGGGTGGGGGACATGAGGCAGTGAGTTCCGGTCACCTAAACAACAGTGCCATCTTTCTCTTGAGCTGGGAACTGTGGCTCAGGCAGCAGAATCAGTCAAAAAAGTGGATTCCTGGCCCTCAGAAAGATCTCTGGAAGCTGTGCAATGGGATGCGTATTTACAGGACTGTGTGTGGTGTGCCCATTCGGATGTAAATAAAAACATGCCGGTATATATTTACCATCGTACTTGAACTCTGTTGTGATATAAGCAGGCTGTCTTATTAATGAAGGGACATAAATAGAAGAGAATCATATGGTTGGAAGGGCCCCAGAAGGCTGTTGGGTCAAACCCCCTGTTCAGTGAAGGACTCATGTCTCCCATCCAAATACTAGCCAGGCCGAATCCTGCTTAGCTTCTGAGATGAGGCAGGGACAGGCACTTCAGGCTATAAATTAGGATAGGATAAGTACAGAAGGCAAATAAAGCTGACGAATGGAGGAATGGCTTCCACCCTGAGGAACAATCCAGAGGAATGTTTGGAGGAGGTTCAAGAAAGGCTGGTGACTGAAATGAGCTTTTATGGGATGGGCCTTGAGAAAGTGGCTGCAGTTTTAAGAATTAAACAGCTCAGAGGTCCCACAAGGCCAGCTGGACGCCTCTTGGCGAGTACCAAAGCAGGACACGAGAGCAAACCATTTTCCTGCTGCTGCTTCACAGGAACAGGGATTCCCAGGCCTGCCTAGGTCCTGGAAATGCTACATACCCTTCATTTAGGATTTATTAGATTTATATCCCACCCTTTTTCTTTCAGAGTGGCTTATATCATTTGCCTCTGACTGCTTTCAATCTCGTCCCCACAGCAACCACCCCGGGAGGTAGGCTGGGCTTAGCTGGCAGGCTTCCCAGTATTAAGGTTGGGATGAACCCTTTCAGAATCCATCCCTCCGGCATCAGCAGGAGACCTCGTCTCAGCTCGCCCTGCTTGTGCAAAGAGAGCTGAGACCAGCAGACGTCCGCAAAGGCTTGCAAAGCCCTTGCTGCACAGCTGGCAACCTTCCCCATCAGCAGCGGCTGCAAGACGCGGAAAAGGGGTTTGCCAGGGGCATCCCAGCCGGAATTCTCAGAGACTAGGCCTCTTCCCTGCTCACTGCCAGCAGCCGCAGTGCGTGAGGGAAAGAGCCCGTGTGTGCAGGCACAGCAGCTACCCTTCCTGGCAACCAACTTTTCCCTCGCTCCCTGCTGCTGGCGGAGCCAGTGCATGAGGCTCAGATCTCGGTGGGCACCCTGCAGATGCTGGGCATCCTTTCCAGGAACTGGGACTCTGGACTGCTGCAAAGGGGACCATCATTCAGGGATCTGAAGCCATCAGGGAGTCTGATGGATTCTGACCCTCAGACAGAATCCCTGCGCATCCCTGCCTTTTATCATGCATCCTTAATGGGACTTCCACCACTCTGTGCTTTTTTGTATCCCCGCTGACCTTGTATGTACTATTTTTGTGCACGTGCTTTGATTGGAGAACTCCATTGCAAAATCCGGAAGGTGCAGCTAACAGGGGTTTCATTTGCATATTGGTTCAAAAGAGAGAGATCAGGCAATTCATATTCAAATGTGAGCGGAACACTTTTCTCCCCCATTCCATGGCTGAGCTCTGCTGTCTTCTCATTTCATGCATAATCACATGGGCCCTAAAGATATGGCGGATTTTATTAAGAAATGATAGCAGTGAATACTTCTGCCATTTATGTAGCATGTAACTGCCCCTCTTGCAGTAATGGGAAAACTAGCTAGAGATGCACAATGAGTGCTATTTTAAGAGCAAGGACCCCTTATGGATTCAAGAGCAGTTCGATTAACTCCTGACTGCTCCAGGACTCACTTTTGAGTTTCGTAGCAGTGCTCTCGCCATGCAGAGTAGCTGTCGTTCCCCTACAGAGAAATTTTCTCCATTTTCAGCAACCTCTGCTTCGAGTTTTCCCGGCAGTTTTGAAACCTAGAATACATGGGGAATGCCATGGGGGTGATACATTTTTCATTTCTTGCACACAACACGATAATGCAGGCAGCGCTTTCTAATTTGTTTGACATGATGATGTTGAATCCTGCCAAGTGAGATGATGTACGGCTAAACAGGTGAGCCTTCGGAGCTGCTTGGAGGTCTGGTGGCAGGCAAGACAGGGCAAGGAACTGTCTGGAAGATAAGCAGGTCAATAGAAAAGCTCTGGCACGCAGGCATTTTGGGAAGGTGGCCAGGTTTTATGCTGGGCAAACAACCATGCACAGCATTCCATGGAACAGCTGGATAGATTTCAGTTTCTTGTTGGAAGCTTAAAACAAAGAGGCTTCCCATGGGATTGGCCCTTTGTTGTCACATGATTCCATCGTCCTGGGATGAGGAGCCTCAGCCCTGGAGGGCTGCCTTTCTCAGCCACAAAGATCGCTTAGAGGAGCTCCAGGCCACGCCCCCTACACCAATCAGAGGCCTGAGAGGAGAGTGCAGGCTTCCCTGGGCAGTGCTTTCCCTCCCAGCTGGGAGAGCACTAAAGGGAATCCCTAAGGATAGGCTGGACGTCCACATGGAGGGCATGTCATGAGTGGAGCCAGCTGGTGCGGGGGTCAGACTAGATGGCCCAGGAGACCCCTCCTGACTCATTCTGTTTCTATGTTTCTACTGTTATGTGTAAAATGAAGACAGGAAAATAAAGAATGGGCATGTGTTTCTGCTGCTCTATAACGTTTTTGAGGTGCCATGGGGCTCCATCTGGAACTGCTGGCTGGGGGAGAATTGCCTCAAGTAATTCAAGCTGAGATGCTTGTGCTGGAGGCCAGAATCCTCCTACCTCAGGGGTGGGGCGATGCTGGAGGGTCAGGCCCATTTGGCTTTGATACAAACCTCTGAGCTCTGCTAGGTGTCCCAGAAAGCCCTGGGGGAATACGTCAGCGGCATTGAACCTCTGCCCCACAGGCCAGTTCCTGCCTATCTGGAGGACCAGGCTGGAGTTTCCCATCTGGCCATCAACCCTTTCCATGGCAAGACCGCATCCCCTCAGCCCCCAGTTGTTTGGTGGGTTCTGGGGCTTTGCACAGTTCCTCCCATTCTGAAAGGATGGCATCCCTCTCCTAAGTCTTCAAGTGAGTAAGGGCTTTGAGCTAAAGGTGGGAGTCTTTGGGGCAACCTTGGTCCCATCAGTTTGCATTTGGCCTCAGCCAGCACTAGAACACGTCCCCAAGAGCGTCTACAAAACTGAAAGAAGACTAGAAGTTTGGCCCTTGAGGAATGTACAAAACGCATACATTTCTTGGGTTGGATCCAGACTTGGTCATGGTTTGAGTAGGCCCACTGAAACAACTGCAATGCGTCAGTCACAACTAACCTGAGCCTCATGGATTTCTGTGGGCCTCCTCTAAGTGTGGCTGGTCTTGGATCCAAGTCATCCCATCCCACACTTCGATTCTAGCAAGATAAAAGCTGGAACCTGCATGAACTTAGCGATGTAAATGCTTGTTCTGATCGCGCCTAACTAGCTGCAGCATCAGGCCGTGTAGGAGTCGCATTTTCATGATCAGAGACGGGCCCCACCACACACACATCATGCACAGCAATCGGTTGCATTTCATTAGATGTTGAAAAGGACCGTATCCTGCAGTCATCCATCATCCCCCTTGGGAACAAAAAGTGGGAGGACAGAAAGCAGCAGTGCAGGCAATCTGTGATGAGTGAACACTGATTGTCCCTATTTTTATGAGACTGAATGTTAGTGACACCAAGCTCACGGTGGCTTCTGTCTCTTCCGGTTAATAAGACATGGTGTTAAAACAATCGAGAAGTCCCAGGGACCGTCGTTTAAACCACAACAACAAGCCTGAGAGTGTGACATCAGACCAGACGTGAGAGAGGGAGGAACGTACTGTGCCCTTCATGAAGGTCCGGTCCAGAGCTTGCCAGAGCTGATCGTCGGAGTGGTCGTGAAAAGGATCCAAGTTGTACCTGGAAAGCAGGAATTCCAATGAAAGGAGTGCGTTTCTTTCCCAAAGAAAAGTTTGCCTCCAGGATCCTTGGTGGAGCGTGCTCTCAAATTCATAATTATCTCACTGAGGGGACTGAGTGTGCAGGTGAATGGGCTTGGGTATGGAGTGGGCTTCCCCAGGAGGTGGCTGAGGCCCCATCAGTGAGGGTGTGCAAGGGCAGGCTGGACATGCACATGGTGGGCATGTTGTGAGCAGAGCCGGCTGCAGCCGGGGGTCAGACTAGATGGCCCGGGAGGCCCCTTCTGGCTTGCTGTTCCTATGTAAGAAGGACTACAAAGGCCATTTGGATTTCCAGTGGTGGGAAGGCCCTGGGTAAGCAGTCAAACCAACACTGCCTGAACTGTCGCAGGGAGCACTTCCACAGGCCCAGGCCAGGCCACTCATTTGCACTTGTGACCACAACCAGGTTGTGGCGTGGATGACAGAATAAAGGTAAAGGTTCCCCCTTGACGTTACGTCCAGACATGTCTGCCTCCTGGGGGCGGTCCTCATCTCCGTTTCCTGGCCGAGGGAGCCAGCGTTTGTCCGCCGACAGTCCCTGTGGTCATGTGGCCGGCATGACTAAACACCGAGGTACATGGACCGCTGTTACCTGCCCACCGAAGTGGCACCTTTGTATCTACTCGCCTTTGCATGCTTTCGAACTGCAAGGTTGGCAGGAGCTGGGACGGAGCAACGGGAACTCACCCCATTGTGCAGATTCGAACTGGGGCCCTTTCAATCAACCAGCCCAGTGGCTCAGTGGTTTAACCCACTGCGCCACCTGCAGTCCCTTGGATGATAGAATAGCCTCCAGACAATTGGCAGTCAACCTGCATGGCTCGGGATGGTGGTGCGGCAGCTGATGAGAAACTGACCCATGCAGAGCCGCATCTTTGCTCTCCCCAAGCGCCTCACCACAATGCTCATTAACTTCCACGGGGCTTCCTTGGAAACACTGCGCAGGAAATTGCACTCATCATTTCAAGACAGTTTCTGGATGATTTCCTTTCAGGAGAGACCTACTTTACTCCCCTTGGTCAAGGCTGGGGCACGGCCACAGGGCAATGAGCAGCTGGCAAGGGGCGGCTTGTGGCTGGTCCTTATGGGCTGCAGTCGTTCGGACAGACTCATGCAAGAAGGGGGAAAAGCAACGCTCCCCACCTGATGCAGACACGAGTTAGAATGGGCTTTGGAAAGGAATCTGAAGAACTTGGGGGAACACCAGGTATGCTGGTGGCACCTCCCTCTCTGGTGTACAATAAGGTGAGTGTGTTGCCTGCCCCAGCTCATTGCAGAGGTGGCCTGGCGGATGTAGGAGACATAGTTCACTTTTTATTTTACTGTTTTTTGAGGGATGGGTGAAAATTCACTCCATTGAGTTTTCTTCATTCATTCATTCATTTTACTACAAATTCATGCCATTTACACCTCTTGAGTCTTTCTGTGAGCTGGGACCAATTGGCTTTCCAAAACCTGGAATTTTTGCAAGGTTTCCCATGCAGTGCATCTAGGGAAAAAAGCTTGCGAACCCATCAGCATTGCACGGCGGTGCTGGGGTGGAAGAGATTACCGTCTCCGTGTATTGGGGGAAGTGTGCCTAACACTGCATTTCAGCAATGGAAAGCACTTTGCGTGTGTGTGGGAGGGAGTGGGTGTGTTTTAAAATTCATACCAAAGATGTGTACAATAATGTGTGCCTTGGAAAACATGTGCAGGAAAGTAGGAAGGAGAAAATGTGCAGGATTTCCATAGAGCTTAAAAGCAGAACAAAGCAAAACAAAACAAACACACAAACAAAAAGCTTGCACAAAAACCTAAAATCAAACCTATGGTCCCTGTGAGATTGGAAATGACAGATCCATCAAGGCTCTTTATCTCTCTCTGTTCTCGTTCAGCCAAACAATAAAACAGATTTTTCTTTTATATTTGCAAAGCCTGAGAGTTTCCATGTGACATGTCTTCCTTGACTTTAGCAGCAGAAAGACAATCACGACAATCTTCCGCTTGGTTATTTCATGCCCTACCTAAGTGGTTGCAATCCAAAATCAACTTACGAGGGTGTAGGTTGCACTGAATTCTGCAGAGCTGACTTCTGAACAGAGGGGCTTGGGGTTGGCTTGCTTGGCGGCTTTATGGGGAGAACCAGAGAGATAATGGGCTTAAGAACAGCTGCTTTTGTGGTTATGCACTCTGCTGCCTGAGGGGTATTTTGGCTTCTTATGCAGTGCACTGGTTCTCAGCGAAGGAGCTGCACACTGGAAAGGGTCTGCCCCGATCATGGCTGAGGCGCTGCATTCTAACTATTTACAGCTGGTGAACCAGCCTAAGGCAGAACCCAGTTTAGATCTCACCTATCTTTTGTGTGTTTGTTTAACAGTGTGAAGCTATGCACAACAGCCCTCCTTCCAAAGTGGAGCATCTCATGTTTTCCCTACAGAGGTGCTGAGAAGAACAGCCACTGAGCTTCCATGGGGAATCGTGGCTAATAGCAGCCATTTTAAGTGGAAGGAGAAGACCATCATGCTAGGGAAAGTCAGAGGCAGAAGAAGAAAAAGAAGAGCAAATGTGAGATGGCTTGATTCATAAAGGAAGCTACAGTCTTGGATCTGGAAGAGTTGAGTGGGGCTGTTGCTAATGGGGCATTTTGGAGGGTTTCGTTGCCGTAAGTCGGAGACAGCTTGACGGCACTTCTTGACAACATAAGTCTGCGTCCCCGTACACTTTTCTGTCTTGAAGTTACTGGATGACTAAGTGAGATAATATCTCACAGCCTTTCATCAGCATGACACAATTAATGATGCTGAACTCCCATGCCCACCATCCTATGGGGTAACGGTGGTTAGAAGCTCGTATTAGCTGTGAGATCTTACTTTTCCAGGGAAGGTTAATTGATAAAGGTGACAGCAGCTACCTGACTGTACCTACAAACAGAACCGGATCTTGAGGGATGACAGACAGCTTCGTTCTTAGGGATTCCAAGCTAATGGTACAGATATCGATGCCATCAATTAGGATAGTGCCAGCGGCCGGTTCCACCAGTCGAAACAAGGCAACCCCTAGGGAAGATTTTCCTGCAAGGATCAAAGAATGCTAAATGGGTTATTCGAAGTGGGTTTCGAATGTCACGAGCCAAGACTCATCAGCCGCGACTCATCTGAGCTTTCACATGGCCGGTCAGGGCACTGCCAAGGATATATATGTATTGATTGGACTGGCTGTGAGTTTCTAAACTAAAACCTCAGTATTCAGGTTTTATTGCAGTGCTGGCACTTTGCGATACATAAGTGAGTTTTGGGTTGCAGTTTGGGCACTGGGCCTCTAAAAGGTTCGCCATCACTGCTCTATCATATCAGTCAAGGGTTGCCGGCACTGTTTCCAGGAGTAGGCATGGCTGGGCACACGCCAGGTCTTCCCTCCCCATGGACAAGAGCCGTGGTCCAAGGTGACTAAGGGGGCAGGAGATGCCACTGCCTTTTTGCTCACCGACTTTCTGCCCAAGCGGCAAGCCAGTAGCATTTGTTTTTCATTATTTGTTTTTCGGCACCAGGCGAAGACCTTTTTATTTAACCATCATTTTAATTGTTAATATTATTTATTGATTTTGCATCTTTGGCCAGGACATCTCCAATTATATTGTTTTTATATTGTTATTTATTGTTGTAAGGCTTCGGCGGATGGGGCAGCATAGAAGCTTTCTAAATAAATAAACAAATAGCAGACGTGCTGAGGATGAAGGACAGGGGCAACCGCCAACCACAGTGTCCAGAAGGTGGACTCAGTGAGGACGGGGCCCCATGGGGCTGTTTTGCCCATGGGGCCCCAATCGGGGAGGCCCTATATATATATTGCAGCTGCCCTGGGAAGAGCACAGGGGCACTTTGCTCCCCGCCATCAGAGGCCAAGATGCCCATGGTCAGCGTACAAGACAAGCATCACACGTGAAGGACCGTACCTGAGCCCGTCTGACCCACAACCCCAATTTTTTCTTTTCCGTGGATGACCACATCTATGTCCCGGAGCACCATGGGGCTGCTTGCTCGGTACTTCATCCAGTATTGCTGGAATGTGATTTGACCCTTATCAGGCCAGCTCCCAGGCGGGCTGACCACCGCAGCATCCTTCGATGTCTCAGGAACGCATGTCTGAAACAGGCCAGGGGTGGTGGCGGTGTGTTAATCTTCTAGAGCAATAGCATCCTCAGCATCAGCATCATGATGTATTGATTCATTTATTTAAAGCTTTTGTCTCCTGCATGCTTAGCTGGAGGCTCTCCAAAGGGTTTACGACAAAAACGGAACACAAGTACCCAAGAGATGCAGTCAAGCAAAGACGTGACTGTAGTCACGCATCTGGGTTTTAAATACATTCAAGCATTTCCAGACTTGACTCTAAAGGCAAGTGCGGGTATTCGTTATTGTTTTTGGCAGCTTTCCCCAACCTGGTGCAATGCGGGGGCTGCATGCAGCCCATGAGCCACGTTGCCCATCCCTGACCTAGGGTAACTTCCAAAATGTCATATCCCACATGCAGTCTGAAGACCAGGGATGGAGAACGTGTGACCTCCAGGTGTTGCTGGGCTGCGGCTTCTTGTGCTCCGCCTGCCGTGGGCTCGGCTGTCTGGGGCTGGAGGCCGTTGCATTTCTGCAGCCTCTGCAGACCCACAGGCTCCCCACCCCTGCCGTGGAGGATCGGTCCATTCCACCCGGGCAGGAGTCAAGCACCTCCTTGGGCTGTTTGCATAGACCAAGGCATGAATTTTCCATCAATGAAAATTGCCAATGCTGTGCTCACACCAGAGGCAAAGAACCCGCTGAGATCACAGCTGCAAAAGCGATGCCTCACTTCACCCATAGGAACATTCACGGCGCTTCATTAGCAGCCCTGCAGCAATTGGGGGGCAGACGAAAATGGACCTCCCCCCTATGTGAACTCCAAAGAACCCCTTTCACATTCTAGTTCAGGGCTCTTTCTTACCGTGATGTACTCTGTGATTTGCTCGACGGAAGTAAATCTGGCTTCCGTCTCTGTTCCTGTTCTCACACACACCTGAAGAAGTCCACCTAGCTGTCCAAAGAAACAAGAGGGACAAGGGGGAAACATTTGTGAATGTTACTATGATGTTTGAGTAAACAAGGGAAAAACCCTAAACGTTTTGCCTTTATGAGTGCACACCTGGAGTTCGAAGAAGTTGGTGCAGTGGAACGAGTTAGATGCAGATGGACCGTGCAAGTTCTTTAAAGAGCGTCATTGGTTATGCGTCTGTTTTGGGCCATAATTAAATGCTGCTGCTTTCCTTTAAAGACCTAGTCGCCTAGAGACATGAGACATAAGTACCTGAAGGACTCCCTGCTCTAGTTTGAGCTTCCTGAGTCTTAAGATCATCCTCATGAGGCCCTTCCACGAAGGTCCTGACCACTGGAAGCGGGGTGGATGGCCAACGGAGAAAGGACTTCCTAGGTGCTTCTGCAAAACTTGTCAAGAACAGTGTCGGCCCTTGGCGTACGTGGGCAGCTGCTGTGGCCCCGGCAGTAGTCTGAGCAGGGCCAAGCTGCCTTTCAGCTTCCCATGATGCCCCAGAGTGATGCTGCATCAAGAGCATTCTGGGAAATCAGAATGGCAGGCAGGCCAAACTGCCTAGTGATGCTCAGAGTATTGCTGCCACTGGAATGGATGCCCCACTGAAACCTGAAGTGGTCTGAGGAGGTAGACTCACTTTTGGAAGGCTTCTCCCAAAGGGATGGGCCCCAGGCATGCTCACAAGGAGAATTCCTTGAGGGGCTATTAGAGTGGGATCAACAAGCCACTCTGTGCATGCTCAGAGGCTAATTCTGGGTGATTTGCACTTTTGGCCGATTAAGAATGCTCTGCAAGGAAAACAGTCTGTAGCTGTTGAGGGAGGAACTCTGGCACACAACACTGCATCCATTTAGTTGATTCAGGGCACAATTTATGCATATTTAGACAGAAAAGAAGTCCAACAACTTCCAGCTTTCTCCAGCTACCATGACCTACTTTTTCCTGTCTAAATATGCATCGTGTTGTGTCCTGAATTATGATGTTTATTGTTTTCTTGAGGACTGCTTTTCATGGCTGCAGGTAAATGTGTCTGTGTGAATTTATATGTATGTATATGTTCATGCCTGCACACACATTCATGTAAAGTTTGCTGCTGGAAAAGCCAGCAAAATATGGTATCCCATATCAAGATATCCCATGTCGGAACCTCCAACTCTGAGAAAATGTGGGAGAAACGTCTGTCCTTAAGCAGGCCTCCCCTGTTCTGTGCAAGCACACTGCAGTGTGTGTGTGTGTGTGTGTGTGTTACACACACCCTGAGCCATCTTAAAACAATCTCACACGTTCATAGCTGTGGTTCTCGAAGTCGGAGTTTTGACTCAGTGCAGAGGTGTGGGAGGAAATTTGTCAGGAGAAGCAGGAGCAGAGGGGGCCAAAGATTGAAGAAGGAGTGAGAAAGAAACTGCTGGGGGCATATTGAAAAACTAAAAGTACGGGAGGTGGGCAGGGAAGACGTGTTGCAGAAAGGCTGGGGATGCTCCTTGGAATAACCTGAAGAGAGTCACAGCTGCATCCCGTCCTCGGTTCCAACAAAGGACTGTTGGGGAATCAGACTGAGAGCAGGAAGAGGAGAATGATGGGAGCTGCTCTGAGTTATTGGAAAGGAAAAAGGAGGACCTACATAAATAGCTAAGCAAGCAAAGCCCAAATCAGGGCTGAAGGTAAATAGATGCCGGAGAGTGTTCTCAGCACAGTGCTTTCTGGTAGGGCCCGGCCACCTCGGTGGGACACCCAGAACCCCCTCCAAAGAAAGTGAGGCAGGTCACACCCCAAGACACATGCCTGGCACCTGCTTTGTATGCTTTTCAGCACGGGGCAAAGACCTTCTAATTCCTCCAGCATTTTAACCATCGAGCTTTTCAACTTCCATTCCCTTTTATTTTGCACTGCTGCAGTGCTGAATCATAGCAGTTGCGATTGCTATCGTGCTTTTGTTCTTTCGAATTATTATTATTTTCTGTATGTCTTTTAAACTTTTGTCTAGATTTAACTTCTCTTGCCCAGAGAGTCTCGGCTATTGGGCAGTAGGAAAATGAATGAATCAAAGCAGGAACGAAGACGCCACCCTTCATCCGTTTCCATGCTGTGCCAAGCCAAAGAGCAGTCAAACAAGAAAGGGGATTTAAGGAGAAGATGGTGACTCACAGCCTGGATGATAAATCCCCAAGGCACTTTCTGAGCTATTATAAATGCCTGTGGAGCCTGATGAATTACATGCCTAGAAAAAAAACACCTTGCACAATTTGACTCAAGGGGGCTCTGTTTTTCTGGCTTTTTCCGCTGACTCCTAGGAAGTAGTTTCAGAAAATGAGTTAATAAAGGGACGTAATTTAGCATGATGAAAAAAAAAAAGGCTTTTAAAGCTACCTCGTACTTCAGGGGAAAAGATTACGCTTTAAGCAACATCTGCTTTTGTTGTACGTATAAACATGCATAAAATACAGAAATGAGTGATGTGTCATTAATTCCATGATCATAACAGGAAGTTCCTTGTATCTGCTGTATACAAGCTTCAATGGCAGGAGTGGAATTTCTGGAATAAGGTGAGGAAGGGTTAAGGTGAGAAATCCAGGCAGTTATTGGTAGCCTTGTGTTCCCATTACAACTGGAAATATCTCTCCGTCACTAGTCTGGGGGTACAAAGGTTAAGGGAAGTGATGAGGACATAAAAACGCATCAGGCAGTGAGAGGTCTGGTCAAGGCTGCTTAGGGTGACTTTTAAGGAAATAACGTATTGATTTCCATGAATGATTAACATCACAGCAGAAATGTTCGATTGCCGCTCTTTGCCCAAGGTCAGTTTTGCAGCACCTGGAGACAAATTGAATAGCAGGGTGGAAGGACTGCTGCTGACCCCACGTATCCTGTGGGTCAAATTACACATTGCCAGAAACAGGCCAGCCCTATCTTTAGGTGGGGTAATGTGGTTGCTGCGTAGAGCAGGAGCTGGACAGAGTGAGCAGAGGCAGGGAGATGCTGGCCTGAGACTCACTTACCAGTCCAGGAGACTTTTGCTCTTGGACCTGGGGTGGGGAGGGCTCACACGGCCCATTTTTAACATAAATTTTCAGGATTTCGCACCATTTTAGCCATGGAAAACAAAATTAAGACACCAACATTTTTGTTGGTGTTCGATATAAGCATGTCAAAATGTGTTTTCCCCCTCCCCTGGGCTAAAGCATGAACATGTAATATATTTTTTGGGGACTGGCACATTTGAGTGGGATTTGGGCAACTTCAGGAGTGCTGATTTGTGCAATCAGCACAAACGCATTTGCACGAAATCAGATTCAGTCAGAGTGGATGCTGGAACCTAGCAAACCAAGATGGAATGGATTTTACCAAGTCTGTCCATACCTTTTAATAATTCACACCTGTATTTCCAGCTAAGCATCCCCTTTCAAGTGTTCTCCTGCGCTCGACAAATGAGATCGTGAACACTTTCCCCATGGTGTGATAAAGCAGCCAGATGTGGCAAGCAGTCACCAGTTTTGCATCTAGTTTTTGGCACACCCTCCGAAAGAGACCTTTAGCCTCACCATGTGCCACTTCCTATGGGAAGTTTTGCACAGTGGTCGAGCACCCGCTTGACCTGTTGACGGTCCCGGGTTCAGTCCCTGACATCATCACTTCTAAAAGGACCGGCAAGCCCGTGATGCCCAAGACCTGTTATGAGGACCCTAATCTTCAGCGGCTAAGCCAAACAAACCATAGGGGGCTAACAGACTGACTTGATAGAAGAAAGCTTCATGTCTTTGGATGTGAGGGACTCAGATGCAATTCACCATATATACAGCAAACTATATATGGCCCCACATTTTCAGTAGCGCAAACCCTGGGATGTGAAACAAAGACACATTTCTAAGCGCAAGGACCTGCCAGTCATACATGCAGGCCCTGGCTGAGTAGCTGCCATGTGCTTATGAACACAATTTTTATTTTTTATTTATTTATTTTTTTATTTATATCCTGCTTTTTTCCTACAAAGGGCTCAAGGCAGCTTACAGCTCCTCCTCCATCTTATCCCCACAACAACAACCCTGTGAGGTGGGTTGAGCTGAGAGTCTGTGACTGGCCCAAAGTCACCCAGTTGGCTCCATGGCTGAGCGGCGACTAGAACCCAGATCCTCTGAGTCCCAGTCCCGTGCTCTAACCACTACGCCACACATGCCTCCTCTTTTCAATTTAAGAGTTGTTGCAAGCTTTGGAGAATGGCTGTATTTGTGCATTAGGAATCCCATAAAACAGGAAGGTCTCTTTTGGAAGAGCCACAAACAACTCGCCCCCAGCCCCAGTGATGGTGCTGCAACACTTCATGCCCCGTATGACGCTACCAAAGGGGGCCAGAGATCACAAAGCACAACCGAGGGATCTCCTTCACTGATGAGCTTCACCAGAACAGGCATCCATGGAGAGAGAGTGAGGCCTGGCTGGAAGGTGGGTAGCCCACCATGTGTAGTAATGGAAAAGTTCTGTTCCCCCCTTCACGTTCTGGTTCGCGTCCTCCATTTCTGCATCAAACGGCACATTGAAAGATCTACACAAAAGGGGCACCTATTTTTGTGACATTTTTAAAAACACACACCCATGTTTACACATTTCGCTTTTGCAGATGCAGAACTTCGCACTTGATTTGTCAAGAAAGAAAGCGCTGCTGTGGTTATTTCCCCCCAGAATACACCTTTAGGTGTGCAATTTTTTGAAATATACTGAATTTTGGGTGTCTTTTTGAATCTGTGTGTTTCGGGTGTGAATGACATGATACTCTCTGGAAACAACTGTGTTTCTAGACCATGTTTTGGCCGAGGAAGCATAGATTTGGCAAATGTGCATCGCAATGAGAATAACGTTCTCATGAATGCCTAGCTCTGCTGCTCTGCTTTTTTCTCTGTTCATGAAAACAACCCATTCAGACACTGGCATCAGGCCCAGCTGAGTCTGGACTTCATGAAAACTGAGCACAAGTTCAGCCAGGCTTGCAATCGCAGATCTTTTACCTGGATAATGTAAGATAAAGCCAAGCCTTTTTCTGCGGCGCTGATGGATGAAGGGCTGAGGACTACAAAGAGAGCGACGATCAAGGTCATGGCATTCATCAGGATATCCGCCCGCACGGCAAACCACCGCAGTGCATAGTTAAACAGCATGAAATGGCTGGAGTTTTCATCATTCAGCATTTTAAACCTGGAAGGAAAGCAAAGACAGTATTTCTATACTCTTCTCCATGGAAAGCCAGCGCTGTGCAGTGCTGGATTCAGTTCCTTGGAAGACAAGGAAGAAGCGGGATAAAAATGTAATAATGAACAAAAGGGGCAGTGTTGAGTAAAAGCTCACAGCGGTGAAGCCCAGAACCATTTTATTATGAGGGGTGAGTCCATCTTGTGCTACATCCCTCCTGTTCCCCTTCTCCCTCTGAGTCCTAACGGTAGCTGATCCGGGAGAAGAAGGGATGCTGCTAGCCACGAGGTGGTTGTGAGCTTCAGGGGTTAACATCAACAGGCTTTTGCTACAGCCATGCCCCACCAGAGGGCTCACCGGCATGGGTGATGAAAATTCCCGTGGCTCAGAATGGAAAGACTGCACTGGCGCTGTGTCGTTCAGTGTCCCACTCCTCCCGCCAGACCCCGGTTACAAAGAAATTGCTAGGAGACTCGCAAATGGGTCAGAATCTCCCACTTTAAAAACCTACCCCCGGCAATAGCTTAAAGCTCGGGGAAAGAGTTTAAAAAGCTCCAGTGGGGAAAACTGAGTGGTTGCACAAGCCAGCCATCTCTCTGAGACAATTCTGAGGGTCCGCAGTGAGATCTGGAACTTCCCCAAGACTTGCTATTTCCTGCAAATGAAAACCCACAGGATTTCCACCATTTATGTCACACAATAGCAGAGTGGCTTCATCAGTGTCCTGGCAGGTGCAAAATGGGCCAGGTTGGTGACCAGGTGAAGAATAACCACAGTGCTTTATTCTGCCTGAGTGACTGATGGAGAAAAATGTGACTTGTGGAGCCAGGTGACTTAACTGATTGATATAGTCTTCTTTCTTTTGGAAGGCATGGATTGTGCTAAGGCCTTGGATGGAAGATGTGATCAGAGAAAACCACGGAGACCTGCTGATGTTCTCAATGCGTTTGAGCCCTCGGATGGTGTTCTGAAAAACCCTGCAACAAAAGGCAGGTGCATTGTGCAGGGGCAACAATAGATCTCAGCTCTGGAAATGGATTCAAATTGCAGCTATCAAACCAACATTCTGGGCTTTAAAGCCCTCAATAAATGAACCCCGCCATTTAGAGAAGCATTGCAGTCCAATCGCAGTTGATTCAGACATAAGTCCTACTGAGTCCAGTGGGATTAAATCCTAGGTATGTGGTTATAGGACTGCCATTGCTAGGTATCCTTCAAGAGTAGAGCAGGGGAATTTATGTTTTACTGTTTTGCTTGCAAGAATCCAGGGTCTTGGGACATGTGAGGAATCCATCAGATTTCCTCACATTTCAGTGTGACTTGTGGGCTTTGTGTAGTTCACACACAGAGAATTATGCACTTTGCACACAGAATTATGCACTTAGCATATTTTGCACAGAGATGCTACTAGACTTCCAAGGAGCCTGCAGACTTGATCTCTGCTTGGCTTACTTTTTTGGCCAGGGCTGAACACGGAAAAGAAGTCCACAAGTGCAGGAGAGCCAGGTGCCAGCCTGATCTTCACACCCCTAGCAGGGTCTACAAGCAACGAAATCACAAGGCTTTACTGGAGGTGTGATTGAAGCAAGTCAGCCTCCATGGATCCCCTCAACTGAGAAGTTTTGGACCTTAGGTCCAGGGAGAAACTCTTGAGGCCAAAACGAGTTCATTTCCCTGGCCCACCCCCTTTCTCCTGACCCCTGTTCCTTTAATGATCTCACAGCTCTGTGCAGTCCCTTTCCCGTTCTCAAAAGTCAAATTGCCTTTTCTAAGGCACAGGCACTGCCTGTGAGGGCTGGAAGTTCAAGCCTGATGGAGCTTTGAGGGCCTAGGGGGTGGGCATGTCAGACAGGACTGGAGAGACACAAATTCCTATTTCCTCTCAGGCTTGGTCCTGGCTGGGTCTTGATTTAACTCAGTAATGCGTTGCACGCATATTTTTTTTAAAATATATCCTTAATATTTGTGTGATGTATTTCTCTCCTTCCAGACCCACAAGACTCCTTACTGATGACATATGCAACCCAACAGATAAACACATCAGATATTCCACAGAAATATCATAGGAAGAACAGAAGTACTACTGGGGAGGGAAGCAGCAAGACCTCTGGGGCTGCCTTTCTTTCGAGAATGGGGAGAAAGCTCAGAAATGACCTTTGCTGACGAAATGGTGAGGCTGGGTTTTTCCTGGAGCTGGACTGGTGGAGGAAGCAATGCATGTGATGGCTATGGGTTGAGCAACCATGCAGAGACCGAGTTCTCCTGCATTAGCAGCTCTAAGGAGGAATCAGCACCATTGCCTGGTCCTTCCTGAATTATGCCCAGTTGCCCTGCATTCCACAGCCAGTCTGCTGAATCTTGGGCAAGTCTTGTGAACCTCTGGCTGCAAAGTCTGGACCTCCGAATCCTCCAACAAGCAAGGAAGCCCTAGAGAGCATTTCTGGAACCAGATCTCCGCTCCTCAGACCCAGTCCCCATCTGAAGTCATCAGAGACTGCAGAAACACCTGCAGGAACCCTTTCAGATAGCCAGGTGCAGCACCTGGTGGGAGGTACTCTCAGCAGAAGCCTCTGGCTGTGGTTCTAGGCCAGCTGGGCGCAGTGTCGGCTGCTGCAGCCGCTGGCCATGGTCCTGAATGCAAGGTGAGACGCTCACAACCAAGACCACTGGAGCTGTCCAGGGTCCTGAACCCACTAGAAATGGGTTTGCACAGCGCCTCCTTGCCTGAGGCGTTATATCACTGGGGAGGCAGCAGCTGGTCTGGGTTTCAGCGCATTTCTGAGTGCAATTCAGGGCACTGGTGCTTACCTTCAGGGCCCCAGCTGACTTAGCCCTGGATACTTAAAAGGGCTCCCTCCCCACCCCCTTATAATTCTTCCCCTGCTGTTCAATTAGGGGCAGCCAACCTGTTGCCCTCCAGATGTTTTGGGTCGCAATTCCCTTAACCCCATACCACTGGCTGTGTTCGGTGGGGCTGATGGGAGTTGGAATTAAAATGTTTGGAAGGTTGCTTACCCATCAATTTAATTAAGCATAGGAACCCTTTTGTGCAACCATCATCAAACTTGTAATTGGCTGGCATGTGGGAGAGGAAGGCCTTTTCCTCTGGGCTGTGGAACCCCCTGCCCCAAGAAAGTTCCTTGAGTTGCTTCATGCAGGTATTCAGATGTTGGCTGTCAACATCCTCTGTCCTAGCCTAGCTGGTTTATTGTCTGATCTCTCCTGAGCTGCCCTTGTTGTTTTAACTTGCTGTATTTGTGGTGCTGTCATCGTTTGATATTTTTCATACGATCATTTAATGCTTTGCGATGTGAGCCACACCGACTTACTGAAAGAGCAGAATGAAAAGCACAGTTAGGAGAGCTGCTACGATTAAGAGGGAAGGAAACACGACGGCCATGATGACGAGGATGGCGAGCACCATGAACAACTGCTGCAGAAAATTCTCAGCGTGAAATGGCAGCCTCACGTCCAACTCATCCATATCCTTAGAAAACCGGTTCATTACTCTGCCAGTGGGAGTCGTATCAAAGAAACTCATTGGGCTCTGTAAGATCTGTGGTTAAAGGGGGAAAAGAAACCGCTAACATCAATATCAGCAGCACAAACAACAACAAATAGGACAGCAGGCATGTCTTTTGCAACCTTCTGTATGAGCGTGGCAGAGAGAGGCTGGCTTCATCTAAGCCATGACATAAATACAGCAACGTGCTCTGTTGCTTTGGTTTGATGCCAGAGGGTGGTGGCGGGGGGGGGGGTCTTCTTTGCAAAGCTGCCGTTCAGGAAGAACAAGCAGGGCTCTGGGTTTTGTTTCTCATTTTAGCATGACTTCAAAGGAGCCGTAACATACACAAGAATTATAATGCTCAAATTGCAATGCTGGAAAGAAACCATTCTGGTTAAAATAGGACTGATTGAGAATGTAAATCCTTTTCTTGATGAAACGGAGGATGACAGGAGAGCTACAGTGGAAGCTCATTCAGTTGGGTAGTGAATGAGACCATCCACTACTACTTTCTTTCCCCTTATTTATTTATTACGAGCCTTTTTTTCCAAGAAACTCGAGGTGGCTTACAGAATCCTCCTCCTCCTCCTCCTCCTCCTCCTCCTCCTCCTCCTCCTATTTTATCTTTCCAGTAACAAACCTGTGAGGAAGTCAGCTCCATGGCTGAGTGGGGACTAAAACCTGGAGCTCCCAGCTCCCCCAGTCCAGCACTCTCACCACTATGCCACGCTGCCTCTCACTTGGTCCATCTACACAATCCAGATCACAAGCAGAGCAAAGGCGCACACGCTCCACACAACTTGGCCAAAGGAGTCAAGGCAGATGCTGTGCTGACAAGCAAAACCCCACAAAGACTGGGATCAGCTCAACCTGGTTAAAACTGTTCTCTCATGCCAACTTGTTGGCCATCATAGATTCACACCACAGGCCTTCCAGGAGCTGGGACCCAAACCTTTGAGCTCCAGTCCTCTTCCTTGACCCGCTGCAGGTAGCCAGCAGCGGGTCAAGGAATCCAAAGAATTCCAGGCAACAAGCCATTTCTGATACCTTGTGAAACACGGTGTCATGCAGAGTAGATGAAGCCCGTAAGGTCGTCTTGGTAAAGACCAAGCCTTTGACGAAGCTCAGCATGACCATGGAAATGATGCCCATGCTGTAGACCAGCTGGTAGAACTGTAACCGAGGATGATCAGGGATGCTTCCCGCACTGCAGGTTGTGTTCTGTGCAAAGCTGCAGTTCACCTTCAAAGACGGGATTTCAAACAAAACAACACAAAACCTATAATTGAGATTCATGAATGCTTTCCTAAATGAGTGCCCAACTGGGCCGTCCTTTCTACTATCCAAAAAGGTAGTTTCCCCACTTTCCCCCGGTTGGGGAAAAATGAATGATTTCACTAGAATAAAAGAAATCAAACGTTCTGCATTAAACATTTAAAACATATATTTTTGGCATTTGTGCTTTGGGTTTCACTGGTGAGAGAATCAAAGTGGCATCACTGCTACAGAAGAGGGTTCTCTTGACAGGTTTTGGGGAAAGCATGCTTTCCCAAACAAAATTAAAAAGGGAAAAACAACAATGTCAAAGACCCAAGGTGGGGAGACCACAAAACTGCACGGACTGGGTGTGTTAGTGGCCACAAAATGTTAACCCACCATTGGAACAGGGAGGAGACAGGAGAGGAGTTAGTTCAGTTCACTTCTTAATCAGAACTTCCATCATTTTGCCCTCTTGGACCACTGCGCAAACCAAAACTCAGATGTGCTCCAACCTTTTAGGGTGGGGAAAACTGCACAAAAACTGGGAAACCAAGAAGCAACTGGCAGCTGAGGGGACTGAAAAGGGGGTGTGGCCTTCTGGTGAGCCCCAAACAGCTGGCTGGGAGGGCTGGATTCCTTCCCTCCCCAGGGTCTGAATTTCAGTACTGCTGATTTGTGTTTTGTTCCTGGTAGTGGCACTTTTTGTGCAGCTTTGAGGCAGCGTCTGGGCCTGCCATCCCCTCCTTGTGTTAATTCTCACTGGGCACAGCATGTAACTTGTCCAGTATCATTTCACTGCACTGCTATCCTTCCTTTTTCCTTCTGGAGAAGAACGCAAGATGGCTTCCATATTTCCATTTTATCCTCACTTCATCAGCCCTGGGAAGAAGGTCAGGTAGGCAGTCAGTGACTTGGTCATGGCCACCTGAGGAGTTTCATGGCTGAGTGGAGACTCAAACCCAGGCTCCAGGTTCCAGTCGGGTACCCTAACCACACTGGCTCTCCAGTGCTGGTAGGTGGGCAACATTGCTCTTCAATTGCAAAGAAGACCATTCGTATGTACCACGGGTAGCAGTGATGTTTGGAAAACACCCCCTGTGCTATGCAGAGGATAATCATCTTGTATCTCGAGAGAGAGCGGTGCTTGATTTTGGAAACCCACAGGCAAGAGGGCCTCTTCCTCTTTGCAAAGTCTTTGCCTTTGGCTTTTTCTAGAAAGAGCTAGAGATGGTTGGAAAGCTAAGAAAGCACAAAGTTCTTGAACAGCTGGCTTTTGAAAAAGGAAACTCTGAAAAGCTGCACTTTATATTTTTGCCAGCCTATGGCAAAAAGTAAAGAAAGAGAAGGTACCGCAGGTGGGTGACCTTACAGGGGACTGCCAGGTATTGGCAGGCATCGTTTACTTAATCAGGAGTCCAATCCCAGTTTAAAATGCAGGCATGCTTGAGAAATTCACCCCGCTGAAGTGTTGATGTTTAACAGATCTACCTGCTAAACACCCCACCTGCCCAATCTGTGCAGTCCTGAACCACTGACAAAACAAAAATACATTCATGTATATGAGCAAGTTGACAAATGTACAAAGAAAACTGGATGGGTTTCTAAAATGCCCACAAATGTGCTTAATTGATGGGTGCATGAAGAGATAGTGCGGTGTAGTGGTTAAGAGCACAGGGCTGGGACTCAGGCGGTCTGGGTTCTAGTCCCCGCTCAGCCATGGAGCCAACTGGGTGACTTTGGGCCAGTCACAGGATCTCGGCCCAACCCACCCCACAGGGTTGTTGTGGGGATAAGACTGAGAGCAGCAGGACAATGATGTAAGGCACGGTGAGTTCTTTGGAAGAAAAAAGGTGGGGCATAAATCTAATAAATAAATCAATGATGGGTTTGTAGAATTTCCAGGATCTGACCAGTGTGTCTTGGAATCCCTGTTTCTGGGGAGCCGCAGCAGAAATAAAAGCTTGCCCTCATGTCCTGCTTTGGGACTCATGAAGAGGCATTCAGTTGGCCTTTGTGGACTTCTGGGCTATGTAATCCTTAAAACTGCAGCCGCGCTCTTATATAAACCCATATAAATCGGATGGATGGATGGATGGAGTGTACAAAAGTGTGCCCATCTGAAATGCAACCATGCACGCACACAGAAATATACATGAGTCTTTGTACAGAAAGAAACAACCGCCCTGAATGGAACCCGGATGGAATGGGCTCAGCAGTGGAAGAGCGAGAATCAAGACCGAGCGTGGCAGGTCCTTCCTTCCCTGCTGCAGGGTGAAAAGAGGGGTCGACGGGGGCCTTGAAATGGCCCGGCCATGGTTAGCGGCCAGGAGAGCAAGGAGAGCAGTCACACAAGTAGCTCAGTCATAGTCTTGCCTGCAAAGGTGACAGAGGTCTTGCATTTCAACCCAAATTACAGCAATTCCTTTTTCCATGGAAAGGAGCACGTGCTCAGCTTACGCAGCTCCTGTCCTCCCCATTTCTGCTGCGATCAGTTCCTTCCTGTAGGTGACCAGGAGCTGGGACCCAAAAGGCTTACGGTTCCGAATGTGCGCTTACCCCAGCACCTTGCTTCAGCCAGAAACTCAGCCACCAGTTGCTGAAGGCCGAACAGCCAACCATGAGGGCAAAGAGAAGCACGATGAAGAACCACAACAGGAAGCCTAAAAGGAAATTTGGGCCAGTTCTTAGCAGAAGAACACTGAAACACGCTGTCTTCGTGAGGACAGGGAGAACATCCATCTAACCTGACTGCCCTTGTTATGTACCCTAGTCCTGAGAAGAGGGGAAGATGCTACGTGGTTAGGGTCCATTAGCAGCCTCCTTGCCAGCGACAATTCCCAGAATCATTTGATGATGTAACAGCCTGCCTCTGTTTGCCTAGTATGTCCGCCCCACTATCAGAGATGCTTCTGAGCATGTCTTGAGTGTTTCCCCCTCAGCCTAGCTTATGCTCTCTCCTAAAAGGAGCCTGTGTAGAAATTAAATTGCCATGGAGGTGCAGTGGCTTTTTCACACAAGGTCTGCATTCCTGCAGCTCCCAGCCTCCCCGCACCCGCCACCGCCAGAAGCAAGCCAAATCCAGCTGTTGCCACATTCTGCAGTGGTCCCCTGCTGGTTTTCAATGCCAAATCAGTGGTGTTGCTTTCCCCCTCACAGCCATGAACTTTGATGCCAAGGGGCCGCAGGGGGCTGCACGCAGCCAGTGGGCCATGAGTTCCCCCTGCCTTGGAAGAAACAAGCACCAAACAGTCAGAGACATCTCCAGCACAGCGAAAATTAAGGGTAGGTTTGCATCACTGGAGGCTCTGCCTTTTACGCACAAGCCACTTAAAATACAATGATTTTAGCAGAAATCTACAAAGAGAAATGGCATTTGCTCGCAAAAGACACTTGCTATGGGAGGTACCTCCAGATGCGGTAATATAAGCATGGTACGTCTTCCACGTAACAGCCCCTTCCTTCTTCTCTTCTTCTTGGACAAGTTGGCTTGCAGGAGCTGCGGCAGAAACCGTCAAGCATTCATTCACCCTGAAACGTTATCCGGTGCTGACAAATCTCATGCATTTTAAGTAAAATTGGACGTCACTCGGGTCTATCCACTAAAATAAACATTTGAGGCTTCACAGGAGCCTTGGCGAAATGTATTCCTGGTGCCAGCCTCCCCTGGATGAAGCCATATGGTAAACATTCCCTCTGTTTTCTTAATGGCTGGCAAATGAATTGGAATCCGTGACTGGAATCAAAAGGCGGAGGGCATCGATTGAGCAAAACCGATCAATGCCACCCAGCAAAAGCCTATTGATATTCTTGTTCCCCTTTCTGGGTGCATATAAAGCCAAATGCAAACGGACTGAAAGAATAGCAGCCAGAGGGACCAATTTCTGCTTCGCACTCGAGCGGCTTTCATTACTGAGCTGCCAGGGATGTCCAGAATTCAACCTGAAACGGGGCATCATTTACAGGAAGGGGAGGGGGGATTCCTTCCTTCATTGCTAGAGTTGCCTTATGGCAGTGATATGGAACCTCCAGACGTGTGCCTGATCCAGCGTGTGGAGGTACGGTATCCATCCTGCACAGCTCCCTTGGCTTCCTCCCAGGGACGGAGATTCTACCAAGCAGAGATTGCAACAGCAGAGTCGTGAAGGGACCTTGGATGATGGTGGGGGGCTGGTGATGGCCTTCATCATACAAAGCCCCAGACTTTGGGAACAGTCTCTGCATTTGCATGTTCCCAAGTGGACCTGAGTGTGCTTGCACCCTCCAGGAAGCCAAAGACCCAACTGATGCTAGAGAGAGCAGCCACTCCTCCCAGTCTACACCAGCTCTCTTGTTCCATCCTGAGAACTGGCCAGAGCCACTGAGGACGTCTGGTGTTCAGAAGGCCTGGCTGAGGTCAGTTGACCTTGGCTTGGCTTGGCTTGGCTTGGCTTGGCTTGGCTTGGCTTGGCTTGGCTTGGGCAGCATCTTCAGCATGTCCTGTCCTTGAGAATAAGTCATATTTCCAATCAACCCTACAGCACTCCTACAATCATGAGGAGGTCTGCCCCATCGAAAGCCCTGTTGGATTGCTGCAGGTGAGACTGGAGGTGGTGGAGAGTGCTGTTCCACTGCTTTCCTTTGGCCTCCGTGGGAAGGGAGCAAGCACCCCAGCTCCATGTGGGAATGCGGCCCCCTCAAGTGGGTGCCAAGCATTCCAGTGATCCATCCACTCACAAGGGTGGAGCACCCTTCCCACTAGAGAAGCTGTCCACCAAGGAGAAGGCCATTGGTTAAGAAGCCACATCATACAGATGGATGCTTTGCTAAACCAACAATTCCTCCCGTATGCAGAGGGGTCCCTACTGAGATAAATGGGGCTCTGGAATGATAGACCATGCGATACATGGAAACTTTCAGACTGAGAGAAAGATCCCATCATACCTGCATAACAGGTAGTTTCTGTGCAACAGAGCTTGATGGCACCATTTAAAGAAAACTGGGTATTTTGGCAGCAGATGCAGGCTGCTAATCTCTAGTTGCAAACTCCCCTGCATGCATATTGATTTTCAAATGTAATCAAGTCAACTCAAATATATGCAAGGAATCGAGGTCAGAGCGGCAGAACAGTGTGGCTTGTTACAGCAGGTGGCCTGGTTCAGCTTTCAAGTACCTGGAGAACCGGTACCAGGTGTGCAGGTGCTTGCCAGGATTAGAGCCGCCGCAATCGTGGAAACACGCTGGAAGCCAAGGAGGGGCCACCAAGGCTGCCCCACCCTGCTGGTTTCATCAGGACAACATGAGTTTCTGCAGTGCATTCCTGATTTGGCTGACTCCTCTCCTCCCATGACCTTGCCTGGTATCTGAACCCTGCATGTCCTTGGCTTCACGCTTTCCTCTGGCTCTGTTGCACCTCTGGGAGAGCCGACCTTTGCCTCTGGCCCTGCCATGCCTTGTCAGTATCGGACCCTTGCTCGTTCTTGACCCTGACTCTTGGTCATTGGCCCTGCCATACCTCGCTTGAACCCGCCCTTGCCTTCTACCCCACTGCCTCTCACCAAAACTGCCACCTGCCTCCATTTCCCTGGCCCTGGTTCTCCACCTGCCACTTACCTCCCACAGCTGACAATGGCAAGAGCCCACATAACCTACCTGCCTCTCGTCCTGCACTGAGGTCTTTCTTGGATTCCTGATCTGTCTCCTCAGATGGGTTAAAAGCTGGGGATAGGAGAAAAGAGTCAGGCAAAATGGTCTTTGCTCTTCCAAAAGCAGGCTGTGATAGTCAATAATTTTACCTGGCATTTTGGTTCCTCTGTAGCAGACTCCCGGAATGGCATCCTGAATTTCCTCCTCTGCGGCCGTTTCTGCATTGGAATAAAGGAAAGCATTGCCTGGAACCTGCAATAAACAAATACAGAAGTACCCATTTTTGTGTAAGAGGAGCCCTGCTGCTGGATCAAACCATCAAATGCCCGTGTAGTCCAGTCTCCTGTTCCCAGCAGAGTCCAGCCCTGTAAGAATACGAAAGCAGCCACGCTGGAACAGCCCAGTGGCCCATCTGGTCCTGGAGTATGGTCTGAAGGCACATAAGGCATCCACCGTGCTGAAGCTAAGCAGGTTCAGGGCTGGCTGGAGCTTGGAGGGGGGACCACTGCATGTAGCCACCTGGAGTTCCTCAATGGCAGAAAGGTGGGCTATGAATAGAATAAATGAATATGTTTGCACAGAGGGCGACCAGCTGCCCACAGAATCCCTCGAGCAGGTATGAGCTCACCTGCACCCCAAGCAACTGGGAGACGCAACCACACTGCCTCTGCTGCCGGAGGAAGCCTAGACCCAGCAGGGCCAGGAGCCTTCTCCTCCTCCAGTCCCTCTGTCCTGCATCATCTGCCCACCAGTTTCATGGGATGCCCATTTGGACTCTAGTATTTAGAGGGGGGGGGGAAGTGTTTTCCTACCAACTTTCTCCACACCACGCATAAGTCTGTAGACTTCTGCCAGGTACCTGTTTCCTTGTCAGTTTCCTAAGCTAAAGCATCTCACTCTTGGAGCCTTCCCTTCTGGGGAGATGTTCAACCCCATCCGACTTTGGTTGGGTACCATGGGACTGGGACTCAGACGATCTGGGTTCTAGTCCCCACTTGACCATGGAGACAACTGGATGACTTTGGGCCAGTCACAGACTCTCAGCCCAACCTACCTCACAGGGTTGTTGTTGTGGGGATAAGATGGAGGAGGAGGAGGATGTAAGCTGCCTTGAGCCCTTTGTAGGAAAAGGCAAGATATAAATCAAAAAATTATATATATAAATAAATAAATCTCCTCCACGTTGGGAATAGCCCAACCAGCTGGGTCTGGCTGTTCCAGAAGGCTGAGCATTTCATTGCAGACTCTTTTCCTCAACAAAATAAGAACTGACCAAACGTCATAAGTTCTTCACATTCAAGAAAGAAGGAACTTGAGAACTTAAAATTTCAAATGCAGGAGAAAGCAAGGGTTACAGATTTGCTGGCCTAGATCTCCGATACAGGGGGCATTGAAGCCACCCAACTAGGAGCCAGGGAGAGGCTCATCCTCCTCAAATCGGGCTTCTAAAGCATTTCCACACATCACACCAGTTGTTTAAGTCTGTCCTTCCCTCCCTTGTGAACATTTGCATTGCTTTTTGCATCGCCACCTGCGTCAGTTGCGTTCTTATTGGTATTCCTATTTCTATCTTAAAGCCTTCCTTGTTTTCCTCTCCAATGAGCTCAAGATAGCCCCTTCTCTTCCTCTTCCCCTCCCCTCAACCCTGGGAAGTACTTAGGCTGGGAGTCCATCCCTGCCCTAAAGTCACCCGGTGAGCTTCATGGTCAAGAGGACAAAGGAATTCAGATCTCCCAAGCTGCAGCCCAACTCTGTCATGCTGGAACCCTGGCTGACAGGTTGGCCCCCATTTTGCACCCCACCCCAGAAGAGGTGCAAGGGAAGCCTGCAGGGTTTGGGGCCACCCCAGGGAAGAAATGGAGCTAAGTGTGATGCCCAAAGCTCTCCTTCCATTTCCTAAATTTTTCTTCTCCCAAGAAAGAGAAACCTTTGGTTCTTCCTTCTTCTTGGGGTGTTTCGTAACTGATATCTGCCACCTTTTGAGGTTATAGGCTATGCTCAGTATAGTTCAGGAATAGGCCCTCTTCCCTGGTCTGTCTCCGGTTCATCCCTGTGAAGCACTAAAGCTCACCGTTGCCTCCACCCTGTGCAGGTTTTGAATGAGGTGTGCGTAGCGCCCATCTGCTTCCACCAGTTCTGTGTGGGTACCACTCTCGCATATTTCTCCATCTTCTAGCAATATGATTTCATCGCAAAATTCTAAATACTGGGTGGGGGGAGGGCGTTAAACAAAGAAAACAGGATTGCTAAACTGGGAAATGAACTGTGGGAGAAATTCACCTAGCCAGCATTTTCTAAGAAAGGACAAGCTTCAGTTTACAGTTCGGGAAACATCAAATTGTCCATGATCAGGCTCTCTTACTGAAGTGAATAGTTGTAGTTTATTATAGTCTGGAGACGGAGTTCTGCAGAGCAAGGAAGAGAGGGCACCTTCCTTCTTCTCCTTCTTGCCCTCCTTGTTAAGTCAGAGATACTCAATGGTCACAATATTTAAGGGATAATAGAGGTAGGAAAGTCCTTTAAGCATGGTGCACATTGCAAGAAGGCAGTGGTCCATTGCTGGGTCCAGCCACTTCACTCCTAATGGCAAGGAAGCAACGAAAGTTCTCTCCCCCCCCACCCCCCCGCTCTCTCATGCACACACACCAGAGATATTCGAGCTGTGTTGCCTCAGTGCGCCATGGAGATCATGAGTGCCCCCTGCTTTCAGACGCCACACCAGAGAGTCGGTCAGGGCGATCTCTCCTGTTCCTGTGAGGTGAGCAGGGAGCCTTCTTAATTGTATCATTTGACTCAAGTTGGATCAAGCCGGTGTGTGTGTGTTGGGGGGGTAGTTACGGGCCTGTGGATGCTTTGACCTACCACCACCTTCAGCCCTAGCTGAGCTGTCATGGGAGTTGCAGCCAAAACATCTGGAGGTGCATCCCTGTGGCTGGCAGATGCTTTCCGGATGGCCATCGGAGACGCTGGAGTCCCAGCTCCAACCTCAGAGTGCACTCCAAGCTCAGAGGTGGGGCTTGGACCTTGGTGTTCCCTCCCTATCCCCTCTCCACTGGGGCAGTTCTTTCCATGCCCCAAGGTCAGAAGACCTTTGTGAAGCTGGCATTGCGTGGGCATTCCAGGGGCAAGGAGAGAGGTGCTGCTTCCCCAACAGCCTTGACCTGTGTTTCCCATGTGCAGGGGAGAAAGTCCTAGACGGCCAACACTGACTGTGTGAGTCTTCTGCAAGGCGGGAGAAGCACAGAGGTGACCTTCACCTCCTCGCACCTCCTGGTGTTGAGATTATGCCTGCAATTCGTGGAGTTCACTCAATTATGGCCAGCCACATTTTTTAAAAATGGCGTTTGCTCGTTCTCCTGTTCTCTGTTGGTGGTCTTGCTGATGGGCAAAGCCTTGTTGTTGCATCTCTTTTTATTGCAAACCACCTTGGGAACTGTTTATGGTTCAGAGAAGGCACTCTACAGATACAGCACATTACTGTATGAATGGGTAGATGTCCAAGACTCTGTTTGCTGGTGGGATTCAAAGTATGCTCTGAAGCTACAGAATGAGAAAGGGGGTACAGATTTCAGGAAACCGGCAGCCCAAGGACTGCAGATGAAATGTGCTCGGTTTGCATTTGAGGCCCATTTGCTGAAGCTCTCATTTTTGAACCAGCATGTGGTATGAAACTCAGTGAACCTTCTCCAGTCAAATAAGTGTGTCCCAAAATGCATGTTTTAAGGGAAAGTGCACGGTCTAGTGGAACTAACGTCTAAACGAGCACTTTGCTAGAAAGCAGCTTGCGCAAAAGGTGTACCTTAGACAAAAAGGAGTACACGTGTATGAATCGGAGGAAAAGTGCACAGACGTTCATGCCAACAGTTTTCTAACCATCTCATACTAAAGTGAAAACAAGATCAGCCAGACTTAACACGGGAAAAATGAGAAAATGCAGTCAGCACCTTCATCCATCCCTACCTAGACAGAGTCGTTTTTGCGGTCTAGCTGAAGTGAGGAACTATTTTGTGGTAGGAGTCATCTTGGGCAGCTTTCTCCAGCCTGCCAAAAGCTTCAAACAACATCTTTCAGCATCCCCGACCACTGGTGATGCTGGCTGGGGATGAAGGGAGTTCTAGGCCTGAGCATCTGGAAGGTACCAGGCTGAGGGAGTCAGGTTTGGGGTTGTGTGAATAGCTTCTGACATAACACATGCTTTGTTCGCAGAATGGCTGCACTTATCTCAGGCAAGACAAATCCTTGGCATTCCTTTGAACAAATACCATCTTTTCTCCTTTTGTAAAAAAAAAAAAAAAAGGGAACCTTGAAATATTTTCAAGCTGAACACTGGAGCAGAGCATCTCTTGAGCTGTGAGGTTCGTGCCACCTGCTGGTGTAATGTTGCTGTTTTATTCCTCAAGGAGGGAAAGGAAAGAGGAAGGAACAGGAAAGAAAAGCCCATGCCAGAGCAAGAAAAATGCAAGAGCAAGGACATTTGTGAGGGCTTTTTCAGTGATAAGAAAGATGCCCCAATGATTTAGGAATCAATAAAGCAGGAATATATATTTCTATACCATAATTACTTTTCCAATATGCAATTAAAGCTTTCCACTCTTCATTAATTTGTGGTTCTCCTCTACCATCTCTTTGTGATGCTTGGCTTTATATAACCAATTTCACACTCACAGAGAGAGAGAGAAAACGAGAGAGAGAGACTTCTATAGCCCTTTTATTGCATAGCTAGCATTTCTTACATAATTTGATGGAAACTGATGGAAATCCGGTGTTTGCAATGCTTCTAAATACTCTTGTCATGGTTATAATGTGTGTGAAGGAAAAGCAAAGGAGATGTTCCGAATGCTCACAGCAGAACATCTGTAGTCCCTCGGCCGCTTCACTGCTAAAAAGGGAGCCAGTCTTTGGAAGACTCCAATTCTCAAACCAAAGATCGCTGCCTGAGCGAGCCCTGAGTGAGCCCCACTTGGTTAAAAGGCAAGAGGGTGCTTGCTCCCTTGGTTGCAGATCTGCTGGGGGAGAAGAACAACCAGGGATAAATAGTCCTACTGTTGGGGAACTTCAGGTGTGCGGTGCCTAACACTGGCGGGCAGTCAGAGGCCCTCGTGTGAAGGAAATTGCAAGCACATCTGAAGGAGAGGCCACTGGGCACTGGGGGCGTGCTTGCCCCTTATCTCCTGCTTTCGTCCTACTCTAGCCCTAATCTCTCAGTGGAAGCTGCCCCTGGCCATGCAAGTGGTGTGTGTACGTGGGAGTGATCGGGATTGGATCCATGAGTGAAAAGCTTGTTTCAGAAGGAGGCCGATTGGCACGGCTCACAAAGGAGGGTTCCATTGACTAGCCTTCCTCCAGAAACTGCGCTTCCACTCGTGTGGGCGCCTCCAATGGACAGCGTTGGATCTTCCTTGCGGAGGGGCTGGGTCCTCATTGCGCCATGCAAAGGCACTGGCTGGACCCCGGGCTTGAGGAATGGGATCAGCCGGGGAACGAGCCCCCCACTGGGTCCTGTGCCTGGAATCCTGAACAGGAGCATTTGGAAATATTGAGACAAGATATCACGATCAAAACTAAGCAGCAACATATTTCACAGCACAGAAAGGCATTTTCACCTCTGTGTGCATGATCCAAGAGACCCTGGATGCCCCCTTTCCCCCTTTTTGGAAGGGAGATTTAAACTGTATTGATTGAAATCAATTTCATTTTCTTCCATTACCTGGAGCTGGTGGGTCACGAGGAGCCTGGTCTTCTCTCGCAAGGCTTCTTTGATGCAGTCTTCAAAAATGCGCTTCCCGACATGTGCATCAACTGCTGATAAGGGATCGTCCAATAAATAAATATCCCTGTTGGCATACACAGCGCGGGCCAGGCTGATTCGCTGCTTTTGGCCTCCGGAAAGGTTGATTCCCCGTTCCCCTACCTTTAAAAGGGAAGGATCACAAAGTCGGTCAAGGGGTAACAATCATTTCCATCCCATCTAATGAAAGCCGCATACACTTGTTAAGGCGCAGTCACTGACCTGCATTTCACCACTGAGTTCTCCGCATGCAATTTTCCTAGTGCCCATTGTAAATTCTCACAATGCCTGCTTCTTATTTACAGCTTTCCACTTTCTCTGCATATCAGCGTCTACCTTTTGGCATGTACACTTGCTGGGTTAAATTCCACCACGCTGCCAAAGCACGCCGTTTCGCCAACGCCCGTGAGCAGTGTCTGTTTAGCCTAGTTTGTGGAGAGCTCGTTAGATGCTGCCAAGCTGTCCCCAATTTATGATCCTATGAACACATCCACTCCAAAATGTCCTGCCCACAACAGCCCTGCTCAGCTCTTGGAAAGTCAAGGCTGTGGCTTCCTTTATGAATTCGATCTGTCTCGTGCATGGTCTTCCCCTGGCATTATTGTCTTCTCTGGCACCTTCTATTGCCTCTTCAGGATGTGCCTGGATAGGACGGTTTCCATTAAATCGCTTTTGCTTCCAGGGCAGGTGCTGGCTTGCTTTGCTCTAAGGTCCACTTGTTCGTCTTTCAGTGGTTCCAGAGTATTGGCAAGGACATCCTCTGGCACCATGTTTGAAGCACACCCATTTCCTTCCTGCCCACTTTCTTCACAGTTCAGTCTTCAGGATATACGTCACAATTTCTGTGAGATACTTTTCGCTAAATGGTGGAGTGATGCCTCGAATGCTGAGATCTGAAGTCCAGGGGTCCAAGAAAGACATGGCTGTTCCCTCATGGAAATGCTTGAATTATGGGGGACAGCAAGAGTGTTTGCCTTTTGGGGTGGCCCACCTTAGCAACTGCTTCTAGAAAGGCTCACAAGGGTAATTATTTGCTTAAAATGGGGTGCAGCTATGGGTTGGAGCTTTTGGATTTCAGAAAGACTCACTGCATCTGCTTGATGGCCACCAGCTTGAATGGTGTTAAGAGGGGATTAGAGCAGTTCTTCAAGAACAAGGCCATCAAGGGCTACTCTTCTAATGGCTGAATCGTTTGTTTTATTGTCTATACATTTGCACCATGGCTGCTTTTTAATCTGCTGTCTGGATGGTTACGTGCTATGTCCAGGATCAGAGGAAGGAACTTGACCCAGGCGGTGCTCCGACCCTTCTGTCCCACTTGTGGATTGCTACTGGGGTCTGATTGAAACAGGATATCTGATTACGGACAGGCCTTGGTTCTGATCCGACTTAGCTCTTCTTCAGTCTCTGTGTGTGCAGCTCCCCTGTGTGGTGAGCCCTTGAACTGCAGGCAGTGGCTTCCCGTCCTGGGCCGACTTGGCATCTCCAAGCCACTAGATCTTCCAATGCAAGTGATATCAAATGGCTTCCTGACCTAATTCAGCATTGCTCAAGCCGGTGTTGCTCTGGCACATTCCTCGTTCCTTGGCCATCTTCTGGTCCTTCACTCCTGCTTAGTACACTGCTTGTCATTTCCGCTCTGGTCCTGAAGTCTGCCTGGCCCCACAACCTTTGTTCACAGCTCCAGGATGCTGCCGCCCACAGCCTAGGGGATGACTCCAGGACCTGGGGGTCCTTGCGCCAGCTCTGCTCCCCCTGTGCATCTGCCATCCCACCCCACTCACCCCCCGCTGCTCCGGCTCCTGGTCCTCCTTCTCGCCACGGCTGCCCCTTGCTCGCGTGGTGCTCAGAGAGCGTGGCAGCAAGCAGCCAGTGGCATCCCGTGCCAGCACTGCCACCTGGGCCAAGGCCAGAGGGGAGTGAGCAAGCGGACTGTATCAGGAAGGAGGACGATCTCCCCAGAGCCCTGACCAGGGGATCCCTGTGGCGCCTGGGCCCCTTCACCTGCCCCTCCACAATCTGAACACCCCGCATTCTTGTCCTTTGTGAGCAGAGCTGGGGGGCGACTGCAAGGGGGGCTGTTTCTGCACCAAGAGCCACTTCTAGCTGTGTGGAGAGAAGCGGATTTACTTTGGCACTCTTTTCTCTGCGCGTTTTCCCCTTGGCAGCTAACGGGAAGCCCCGATCCCCTGCATCATGCACAGGGATTTCTGGCACAGGGATACAGTCATGCAGAACGTGTGGAATGGGGACAATCGCTCAGGCTCATCTCCGGATTAATCTTCTGGGAGCGCGTCCGTGTGACAGAAGCCCTGAAATGATCTGCAGACACGCATTCCGATGAGCTGCCTGGTGTCTCTTTCGAACTGCTCTGGGAGATAGCGTGGCAAAATAGCCAGAACCAAAGTATGTTAAAAATACGATTGAGTCCCAGGCTAGGCTATGCTCCCGTTTAGAGCGCCTGTAATGAAAATTTAAAATGACAAGACAGCCAGGAGGGATGTGATGCCAAATCCTATTATTGAAATTTCACCCCCTCCAGAATATGAAGCTGCTTCCCTTGCAAGTCGGTCACGGGAAGACAGCGCGATACAGATTGCGCAACTCAGATAATAGATGGGCATATTTAAACAGGGCCTTTCGCGTCCGCCGCCTCGGTAAATTGCCAGTGACTAAATGCATAACATGTGTAGTGATCCTGATAAGAATTAGGGTCCCACTTCCCCCTGAAGGCTGCCTTGAGAAATGGCACGGAGGGGTGGGGAGATTCGTGGATCACATTGGAACAAGCCAGGCAGAACAACCCTTTGGCCCCTGAACAGCATGTGAGATGGCTTGAGACGCTGAAGGTCTCCTTACCAGCCCTGTGCAGAGAGCTCTGCATGCCCAGGAGACCATGGATCTTCTCGGAGGCAGTTCTTCTTTCCCGGGCCATGGAGGGTGGGAAAAGGAGAGGCAAAGGTCTGCAGAGTTAGAGAAGCCCCATCCTCCTCTACCCCCATCCTCCTGCCTAGCTCTCCTGGCAAGGTTTGGCCAGACAAGGGTTGGCTCCCTGAGAGCAGGACAGAAGGACAATTACCCTGCATTAAGGGGTGACTAATCCCCAGAGGGAGATCCCAGGTTTGGCCAGGAAGAGGGCACGAGATGGAGTCGGTGGCCTTAGCATCCATTCAGGGCCGTCCCCGGCAACCAAAATTCAGGAATATGGCAGGCTGATTCTGCAGCTCCGCAGTGTGCAGAGTTAAGAATACTGAAGCGCCTTCACTCTGCAAAAAACCATTTACCTGAAGGACAATTGTAGAAAATGTGGCGGTGCATTAAAGCAGCACCTGTCCCAGCACTTACTTCAGTCAGATCGCCGTACGGAAGCCGTTTGATGTCAGTCTTCAGGCTGCAGACTTGGATCGCGTGATGGTACCTGAAACATTGGAATGGGGTTCAGTCCCTCTTGCACTGTCCGCTCAAGCAGCAGAGACCCTGAACGGTGGCTCCCTGCGTGCTGAGATCCAGTGAGGTGACTGGACGGTGAGTGCTTGTGGCCCAATTCACAGCCAAGGAAACAGAGGCAGCTCCTTACGGCAGGTCAGAATATCTCTCTATCTACAGTAGTGATTAGTATTCGTTTGCATTTATGTCCCACCTTTTTCTCCTCTTGTGGGGAACCTAAGGCAGCTTGTGTAGCTCCATTGTATCCTCAGAACAACAACCCTGAGAGGTAGGTTAGGCCAGGGCAACTGTGGGGGCAATGACCTCATGATGGCTTCCCCGAGGTTACAGGAAGCCAAGGGGGCTACGGGCTGGCAGAGAAATGATTGCACCGGGCAAGGAAGTGAGATCCACTCTTCAGCCAACTTGTCAGTAAACCAGGTAAACTCTGCAGCCCTGAACTCAGCCTTCGCAAATTCCTGCAAGGACTCTTCTCCATCACATTTCCTTTCCAAAGCAAATGTTTTTCCATCAAGCTGCATACAAGCAGTTGAAAAGAAAATTGGAAAAAAAATTGCAGAATGGCACTAACGATCAACCTTCCTCTGCCAGATGAAGCTGTCCAGGTGTGAGATGCAGAACATGCTCTGTTCTTGCCAGGTGGAAGAAAGGCCAAAAAATCTGAGTAGTACCTTGAATTAACTGAATGGGCACTGAGGTCAGCCTGGTTTCAGGTTTACACAGCCAAATTGAACCAAATGAAACAACCTCTCCTGACCCACAGATGTGCTTGGAATTTATGCCTTGTGAGAGCACATTTGGAGAACAAAACTCCGAACAGCCGTGGCGTAGCTGTGTTATGTGACGCTCTCTTCCAAGCATTGTTTGTTATTTATTTGCTTCAATCGTTTTACTTTGCTCTTCAGCTGAAAAGGTTCCCAGAGCAGCATATTGATCAATAAAAAGCAGACCACCCTTGCCCTCAAGCTTGCAATCTGCAAAGCACAAACCGAGAAACAAAAGGAATGGGGAGGGGAAGCGCTTCTTGAAATGACGGCTTTTCTGTCCCCTTGTCCCTCTCCCAGGACATGGTCACAGCAGGTGTCCCAGGCAGCAGGTACAGCTTTGCTATGAGTCGCAACATCCCATGCCCAGTGTTTCTGCTGGGCAGTTTTTGGCAATATCCATCCATTTCAGGACAGGAGAGAAACAGACCCTTCTTGCCATTGTCTATGCAGTCTTTAGATTACCCTGGCACCCTCCAGTGTTGCTTCTACTTTTAAAAGCAGTTTTTGTGCGTGTGTGCGCGCGCGCGCGTGCGCTCGCGCTCTCTCTCTCTCTCTCTCTCTCTCTCTCTCTCTCTCTCAGAACAGGGAAAATGTGGTATTATTTGTAAAAGAGAAAGAAAACTTTTCCATGCATGGAATCATGTCATTCCACTATGCCATCACTTAGAGGTGATATAGCAGAGAAGCAGGTTAGGGAATGCTCTTTGTGTAGATCTCAGTTCTGTGACAAAACTGAACATGGGTACAAGGGATTAACAGCTTTGTGTTGAAAAGCTCATGGTCGTTCCATAAAAAATTGGGAAAATTAAGCAAGTGATTAGTGAATGTCCCTAACATAGTTTTGACAGATTGTTTCACTGATCCATCAGTATGTTTACTTGGGAGTAAGTCCCACTAAAGTCAGTGGGATTTGTGCTTGATTAATATTCTATAGGGTTGCACTGTTAATCTCAGATTCTCCAGTGCTGTTTCTGGAATTCCAAAAATAAAATAAAATAAAATAAAATAAAATAGGGATGGGACATCTTTTAAACTTTTGGGGCTGCTTTCAAATAAAGCACCCTTGTTTTTGCAAGACATTAGAAAAAGGTAATCCAAGCATTAGTTTCCCCCTCATATTTCAGGTTTGAATTATGTCTGCATGAAACAGTATTTGGAGACCTAACATTTTTACCCAGCCTGCTCCAAATGCTTCCCTTTCTTTGGAAGAATATTTAACACTTGGATAAAATGGGCTGCCAGAATAACAAACTGCCCACTTCATTAAAAAAGCTGGTTTTCTGCAGATACGTCATTACTCTCTGCTATAATGATGTCCCTCATTAAAAGAGGCTGTCGTTTTGAATTCCTCTCTCTTTTAACCAATACTTCTGAACAAGACTTACTTCTTAAAAACAGTTTTGTCTCCTGAAAAATATAATCCAGTTGAAGCAACTGATTTTGAGAGGGGTTGAGATGAAAAACACCTTCGCATTTCTTCAGTGGACTTCCTGTGGCTCATCCCACACTAAAACTGTTCCCTGCAGCCATTTTAGGAGGTATAAAATGGAACTGTTGGGAAGTTTGCGTTTTGCTAAGCCAGGGTAGAAAATGTGCCATCCTATGAAAAGAGTGGCTGTGATTTAATTTGGGAAAATTACCTGCTCAACTAATATGAAAAGGTTGTCTCTTGCTTTCATTAAATGCAAAAGACATGCTGGGGAATAGAATACATTCTTCCTTGAAAATTATAAGCAATCAAATTCCACCTCATTCTTCTCTTGTTGAAATACAATTTGGGAGTTTTATAGAAAGGCTATGTAGCAATAACTTTATCTAAGTGTAGGCCCTCTTAATTCAGGGTTGAAGGCCGGCTAGAGACTTGCCATCCATCAGAGCTTTCCTATGATCTTTAGAGGAGCTATCCTTGGTATCCTGTGGTGGTGCAACTATTCTGGGAATGGAGTTTCAGGCCCTTGGATAGCTCCCATAAAGTTCAAAGCTGCGATGGGTGGGCCCCTGACCTTCCCAGCTGTAGGCGATTCTTACAGGAATCAAACCAGAAAGCAAGAGTTAAGAGACAGTTAGAGCTGCAAAGGGACTGCAGGTGGCACAGTGGGTTAAACCGCTGTGCTGCTGGGCTGGTTGATCGAAAGGTTGCTGGTTCGAATCTGCACCACGGGGTGAGTTCCCGTTGGTCTGTCCCAGCTCCTGCCAACCTTGCAGTTCGAAAGCATGAAAATGCAAGTAGATAAAAAGGTGCCACTTCGGTGGGCAGGTAACAGCATTTGGTGGGCAGGTAACAGCGTTCTGTGCACCTCGGTGTTCAGTCATGCCGGCCACATGACCACGGAGACTGTCTGTGGACAAACGCTGGCTGCCCCGGCAAGGAAACAGAGATGAGCACCGCCCACTAGAGTCAGGCATGACTGGACTTAATGTCAAGGGGAAACCTTTACCTTTTTACCTTTTAGAGCTGCAAAATAGCCAAGAAAGTCTTAGTACTAATATTAAGCGTGACATAGTCTTCCTTGTCAAACATCATAGAAAGCTGCTGCTGGGAATGGAGGAGAACATTTCTCTCTTCATATTTTGATGAGATCTTGCCAGATCTCTCACTTTTAAACCAGTATGTGAAGTGAAATGCAGTCCTTCTACATTCACAATTCTTCATAATGTATGACATTTCCCAGTACAGCCATGTACGACAATACTTGTGCTAAGAGAAAGTGTGCATCGGAAAGTGTGCATTATGGCTAAGGGGTGGGATAAAAATCCAATGAATAAACAAATCCAATAAATGCATAAATGTTTATATTAGTGAAAATAATGAACGAAGATGCATGATATTAGGAGAAATTGCTGGCAAAGGAGACAAGCTCATAACAATGTATATATTAGGAGAAATGTACACAAAAGACTTACAAATTTTCATGCAAACTTTAAAAAATAATCTCAAATGGATGCAGAAACAGGAAAAACTGGACTTAGGATTGGAAACACTAGAAATTGAAACAGGCTGATTTGCACATGTTTAATTTACATGAAGAGATCAAATCAGCAGGGTCAGTCCCTTGAAGAAAAATGCATCTCTTCCATGAGCTCCATTTCCCTCCTCCCTTAATTTCCTGAAACTGAGAGGGATTTTACCACAGTGTTTAGTGGAGTGCAGGATGGCCACATGCCTGCTTTTAGAGGACTGTCCTCTGCTTGAGGCTAACCCAGGACCTTCGGCAAGCAAAAGCCACTGTTGGGCCACTGAGCTGCTTTCCAGGATGGGGAATCATGTTTCAAAACCCAAAGGAAAAATAGATAATTCCTGCCAGGAAGGATTGCTTGTCCCCATGTGTTGAGCCTGGCCCTATCTGGGTCCCATCACCTGCTCAGGTGAGCTGAAGGAGGACCTCAGTAGAAGACCTTAAAGTTCGGGCAGGTGTATAAGGAAGAAAATGTTCATTCAAGTAACCAGGCTCTAAACTGTTTAGGAATTTGTGTATCAAAGTTAACACCTTAAGTTGGGCCAGGAACTTAACTGGTCACCAATGGAGGCAGGATAGGAGTGCCATTCATGCCTGCTAGTCCTGCAGAGCAGCCCTTTGGCTCTTTTCTGCACCAGCTGCTATTCTTGGCAAGCTTTTGTGTGAAGCCCTGCCTGCATGTTTCCCCTTGGGTCTTGAGAAAGTACTAGAGGCTTATAAAATTAAATTGAAGCTCAGAAAGCAGGGCATGGTTTTCCTAAGAAGGGCAGGCACCGTTTTCTGGAAACAGCTCTGGTCTCCTGTTTTTGTATTTACCTCTGTTCTTCGTATGGATCTCCAAAAAGGATGTTTTCTCTGATCGTCCCATGGAAGATCCACGGCTGCTGTGAGACGTAAGCCAGAGTGCCATCCACAGCCACCGTCCCCTTGTACAGGCACATCTGCAGAATGATGGAAATTATAGGGCTTCTCTTGTTTAAATGGGCATAAAGTTGACCCCACAGTCCATTTCCAATCCATGTCAGTTTTGCACATACCCCGTTCCATCCCATTTTCACATTAATTTGCATTTAAAACACCATGGAAATCCACATTGAAATGTACACACTTTAATATAGTTGCTCACAAAATAATATATTTTATCTCAAGGTACACATTTCTAAATGCATTTGATCTTTGAACACTCATTTTAAAAGCTACATTCACCATTTCTTTTTTCCAGCTGAAAACTGAGTCTCAAAATTTGGAAAGTGCAAAATCTAGAGGATCATTATGTTCTGAACTGAACATTCATCCAGAGACCCTGGGCTAGGCTGGCCCTCACCATCTTTTTTAGTGTTCCAAGATCTCAGCGGGACACTTGTGGAATCAGATCTTTGCGGATAACATTTGTGGATAATAAGCAAATTCACTGCCTCTCAGGCTAATACATGGCAGTCCTTGAGTTATGAATATTTGTGTTACAAACAACCTGCACTTGCAAACAAGCTTCCATAAAGCCTATTAATTTTAAAATACTACTGCAGAAAATTATCATTACCATAGAGAGAGAAGTGAAAGGGGGTGAGAGAGGCCTCCAAAGTGTGCCTTTCTGATTTGGAGCGAGAAATCTCTCTGGTATTTCTTTGCTGCCAAGAGGAGGCACTGGTGAGTTTGGCTGGGGGACTAGAGATAGTTGCAGTTTTTCTCATTTTCATGGGAGGTCCTGTGCCCCTAACCCCTGTGAATGTGGAGAGCTTCCCCAAGAATTTAGTGAGCTCAAATTCAGTCACTCTGCTTCTGGGACAGCAAGATGGCCTGGAGCGTCCATCACATGCCCACACCCTTCACACAGAGAAGGTTCAGGTCCTTGTTCCATCCATGGAGCCATCATAGACTTTCACAGTCCAAACACGCAAATTGGACACGGACTCACAAAGAAAAGTCGATCACATACCTGCCCTAATATGGCTGCGATGACGGAGCTCTTTCCACTTCCTACATGGCCGCAAATTCCCAAAGCCTTGCCCTGCAAAGGAAACGTATTTTGGGAAGAATTTATCCATGGAAGCAAGGTAGGTGTTTTTCCCCACAGTGCACTCCACATGCATTTTTTCCTGTGTGCACTTTGGCCACAGAGGAGGGATAACGTGCATGGAGCCTTTCCAGCTGACCGCAGCTATGCATGGACAACAGTGCTGAGAACAGCAGCGAAAGAAAGCCCGTGTGGTGCAGCGGTCAGAGCCCAGGGCCAAGGACTAGGGAGCTCCAGGTTCCAATCCCCACTCGACCATGAAGCTTGCTGTGTGACTTGGGGCCAGTGAAGAGGGACAAAGTGATTTAAGGACAAAAATAATATCATATTGTTGCCATTTAGTTTTTTTTTTTTTCCTGCTGGGGGGTGGTCAAATCATTTGCTTAAATTCTGTTTAATATTCATTTATTTGTTTTCTGCACTGCCCAACAGCTGAAGCTCTCTGGGTGCTTCAGAACAGCATATTTTAAAATATGTGCATATAAAATACAGCATTAAAGCACTGATTTTATTACAGTAAAAACAATTATATTAGCTTGAGAAAGGGCCTCTTAAACCCCATCTTAACGACCAGCAGTGCCCAGAAGCTCATTAAAAGCCCTGCAGTAAAGGCTGGACTTTACCTGGCACTGAAAAGGTAGTAAAGCTGGCACCAGGTGGGCCTCAGTGTTATTTTGTAATATTTTGTAAACATGTTTCTAGGTTTGACAGCTGTCCAGAAAAAGGGATGTCTGAGCAGGGAGCAGAACAGGAAGATACAAGTTTACAAGGACAGCTGAAACAGACGGATGGTCCGTGCCCGTTACATGCTGTCTTAAAGCAGGGGGTTTTGACAGCCATTGTCACAGCCCCCCTCCCACCAAATTTGCGTAATAAACGTAATAAGGGACAAGTCGGTGAGTGGTCTGTGCCTCCCTTCCTTACTACCGTTATGTTACGTTAGTCGCAATGTCATGCCCATCCCACCACAACCCCAACACTCCTCCAGGCCTTCCTGTCCCCCACCATCCCCCGGAGTCCACCCAAGCCCACACCCACTGCCCCAGGGACTCCATCCAGCCACCTCATCCTCTGCTGTCCCCTTCTTCTCTTGCCATCTATTGTTCCCAGCATTAGGCTCTTCTCCAGAGAGTCCTTCCCTCTCATTAAGTGGCCAAAGTATTTGAGTTTCATCTTCAGTATCTGGCCTTCTAAAGAGCAGTCAGGGTTGATTTCCTTTAAGATGAACTGGCAAGCTCCTTTGCCATGGCAAGCCAGTGATCCCCTTCATGGATCACTGCCTTGCCGTGGCAAAGGGGCTTGAGTAGCTCAATGAAGCTATGAGCTTTGCTGTGCGGGGCCACCCAAGATGGACAGGTCATAGCAGGGAGCTCTGACAAAAAGTGAACCACTGGAGAAGGAAATGGCAACCCACTCCAGTATCCTTGCCATGAAAACCCCATGGACAGTACCAAAACGCAGCAAGCTGAAAGATCCATCCCTACCGCCCCTAAAGCTTCCATGTCACCTCCATCCCAAACGAAACTGGGTTCAGTTCATACACCACGGATCAGCTATACCTACTTTCTGTACCGTAAAGCTTATGCCACGCAGGCCTGTGCAACCACTGCTCTGCTTCCCAGAGACGGACACCTGAGAGAGAGAGGCAACCGTCTCTGGCACCGACTGATATTTGCAGACGCTTTCCCCATTGGGAAGGGTCTCCTTGTTACTTCCGATGTTGTGTTCACTGGAGGAACCTCTCCAGGACAAGGTGGCATCTTCCAGCAGCACGGCATTTGGGGGGTCCTTCAATGCCGTGACATATTCAGAAGGAGGTTTCATGGTGAGGATTTTCTGCAAGAGGAGAGATGCAGTTCAGGGTAACCTCCAGGAGCTGTTGACGGGGGCACCTTCAGACCCAGGGCTGAGGATCCCCCAGGAAGGGCAAATGCTCTGCATGCAGAAAGTTGCAAGTTCTCCCCGCTTTTCTATTAAAAAGGGATCAGGGCTTACTTTTTAAAAAATGAGTTTTATTTACATGCTGGCTTTCTCTAAATATATTCTCTAAATATATTCAGACCTCTGATGGACAAACTGAAACCAAACAAAACAAAAACCAAAACCGAGTGCCCTTCCAAAGCTGAACAAAGTTTAAAGTGGAAATCTCAAAACAAAACTTAACTGCAGAATCAAAAGGACAGGGTAGCTAGACCAGTTTCCTGGAATTTTGATTCAAATGTCTCTTGATGTAGTAAAGTGATGCTTAAAGGTGCAGCATATTCAGCACAAACGAGACGGTGATTACTGCTTTTCATGCATCAGTTAAACAGGTCCAAAATGTCTGCAATCATCTTTTTTTACCTTCAGTCTTTTAAAAGAAATGTTGGCTTCTGCTGCTGCTTTCACGGAGAATGGGAAGATGGCAATAGAAAACTTCATGACGTTAAACATTGCGATCACGCTGAAGGCCTGCAAAAGGAGATGGGGTTAAAGGCTGTTAGCGGCACACAAGGTTGTTATTATAATGAGGTCTCTTCAGTGATACAGTACATGGGTTAACCATTGAGGTTATGCTATGATGGGGTGATAAACTTCTAGAGTGAGTTCTTGTTTTCAGGTTTTCTCCAGGTGGGACCCCATCTCAGCAGCTTCAACTTCATATCATCCATGGCTACATGGTTTGGCAGACCCTCGACCAAAAGAACCCTTCCTCAATGAGCCTGCCTTCTCAATGCCCTTGTTGCCTGGTGCTGCTTCTTATCCTCCATTGCAACACCTTGATGGGAAGACCAGTGACCAGAAAGTAGGTAGGTGTCACCTGCTTCTCACCATCACCAACACCACTGCATTGGGCCAAAACAAAAGGCAGGTGAAGAAGCAGGTCGCAAGGCAGAAAAGAAAACCCAGTTCCTGGCGATTGCTCTCAGTGGGTCTGTGCTGGAGGATGGCCCATCACCAGGAGCCCAACTGGACCTACCTTTGACACTGATCCTGTCCACAGGGCCGAATTCCCCATCTGCCCATAAACTTTTTGAGCCCTTCCCTCTAACTGTGATGCCTGCTTTCAGAGGAAAGCCACATTTCGCAAATGATGAGAATTCCTTCCAATTCCTCCCAATGTTTGAGAACCACCAGGGTGCCTGTGCATTGGATTGTTTTGCTTCCCATGCCAGCTGAAATAATAATAATAATAAAAATAATAATGAGCAAGTCTTCCTAGATGACCCTGCCATGGTTTCATTTCTGCAGCGGCTCCCTCTATTCTCCTGGAAAACAAAACGAAACAGGCATTTCTGGGCCATGCTGACAGATAGGCGAGGAGTGGCTGAGAGGCTGAGTAGCGTGGAGCCCTCCTAGCTCAAGAAGTACACAGATGTCTCCCTTTCAGGTCCAGCAGTACAAGAATACGCCTTTGCTTCTCCCTCTTGACTTCTACCCTGTTCACTGGCAAGCACCAATAGCGCTGGAAGGAACAAGACATTCTGAGCCAAGAGAGTGTCCAATGGCAGCTTGGAGCCCCGGTTTTTCCATCTGGAGTTCCGAATCTCTGGGAAGCCATTCCCCCCACCCACCGCCATTTCTGAACACTTGCTGAAGAGTGATTGCTGTTGCATCCGATTCCCCTGGGTGAGCTGGCGTTTTGCTCACCTGCATGTCTTCTCCTGGGCCTCAGCCCCATTGAATCTGCCTGCCGTTTTCCTCAGTGCCCTCCTCTCCCCTGCCCACACACCATTTTTTATAAATAGGGGTGTCCTTAGGGGACAGCATCCTCAAGCACACAGAGGGAGAGACTTTACACCACAGGTAAATCAGCATATGAGAGCCTGTGTCTTGTCTTGTCTTGTCTTTGCTTTTTTTTGGTCCTCTGAGCCAGAGCCCTGGATCTTTTCACCAAGTGCCCTTCCTGATGCTAATCTCACAGCCCTCCTCTCAAGAACACAGGATTGCTTTTCAATGGCACGAAATTGCCTGCTCTTGCTTCAGTAACTGGTACTCCACAGTTTATTCTCAGAAGAAATCAGTCCTGTTTATTCTCAGTGCATCTACGCTGACAAGAGGAGTAAAAAAAAACCCTTCTCAGTAAAACACAGTTCTGCCTTTCTGGACGTGAATGCTGCATTTGACTAGCCCCTCCTGATGTACTGATTTGTAATTATCAGCCTTTCCTCTCCTTTGCATTATAAGAATGGAAAATCTGTCTACTCGCTCCCAGCTACTCACAGTTTGCTGTGGATGAGGAGACGTGGAAAATAACAAGGGCTGAAGGCTCCTATTTGTTCCATATATTTAACTTTTAGCAGCAATCCAGGATAAATCTAACTTAGCTTTGGAACAGATTTTGTGTCTGTTCTATAGTCCCCAATAACATTCAACAATGGTTTTGATTTTAATCCCCTAACCAGGAATTCAGAAAGGGTTCACTCATCCTCTTATGAAAATCTGTCAGATAGAAGCCCCGATTTTTAGAAATATTTATTTCTCCGAGTCTATTACCACTCTTTATGTCACCCTTCAATCACTTGTCCAGGGTGGTTTACAGAAACACTCAAAGAGTAAATGCATTGTAACAAAGAGAGAACAAAACTGCATCGAAACAGTTCTGCAGGATTAACATGATGTCTGGAAAGGCTGGGGGAATTAAGAAGGCCTTTGCCAGGCTGCCAGCAGAATTCTCCGCGGTGAACCATCCACAGCTGGGGTACCTCCACCAGTACAGCCTTCCCTCTGGCATCTGGCCAGCGGTGGTACCCACAGCACTGCTCTGGCATGGGAAATACGTTTGCAGAAAATCGTAAGTAAGAACACAATTTTGGTTTTGGTTTTGGTTTTTACTTTTGTTTTTCTTCTGTTGTTGATTTGATTTGGATTTTTAATGATACCGTGTCTTTTCTGTTTATGGTGGTCGTTTGCTGTTACTAATTGCCACCATTGTTGCTATGTGTTGTTGTTTTAATTGTTATAATATATATTGTAAGCCGTCCTGGGACGTTTTTCTCCTGTGGGACGGGATACAAACGTTTAAAATAAATGAATCAATCCACTGGGAAGTTGTGCTGGTGACAACTCACACTGGAATGAATGGAAGCTGTGCAAAAGTAAAATGTATTTGGCTGTTTTAATGGGCAGTCCACTCCCGCCCTTCAAGTTTCATACGGAAGAAAGCCAGTGGCACTCTTCCTTCCCCCCTGCTCTGCGAGTGCTATGCCGAAACAATGAGTGGGCCCGCATCAGCCCGTCCTGGGGAAAGCAGGGCAGCTTGGCATCTGGCCATGGGATTCCACTGCATGGAGACCAGGTGAATTGCTAAACACACAACTGGAGCAGCAAGATGGCCTCAAGATTTAGGGCACCTTATCAAGACCACAGGATCAAGCCATACACAGAGAATGTTTTTTTCACAGTGTAAGTGCTGCATCTTACAGCAGAGGCTGTTAGCTCATTCTTTAAAAGGGTGTGGAAGGAGACCGTCATGACAATCGCCAGGGTGGATACGATTGGCGTAAGGGCAGTGTTCACGCTTTGCACATATCCCGCCTTTTTCAGTATTTTCTGCTCTGCTTTCCTGATGCCTGTAAAACATAAAAGACATCCCCTTACTATGATGCACGCAAAGCGATAAGTCATAGCTCCTTCTAGACAATGGCATGTAATTTTGCAAATTACAGCCTAGCATCCCGAATTAACAGTGAATCACCGTTATTGTAGGAATGAGTCAGTTAAGGCTTTGCAGTGAAATGTAAAAGGAGTTGCCCACCCCGCCCTGCCGTACCTCTGATGGCTTCCGCAAAGGACTTCTCCCAAGCGTACATTTTGATCAGCTTGATGCACGTTAAGATCTCGTTCATGGTGCGCACGCGCTTATCCGTGACCACCATGGCGGCTCTTCGGAACATGGAGGTGAGCTTGGCCATGAGCATCTACGATGAAGAGGCAAAGGGCCAAGAAAGCAATGGGAAGTATTATGGGATATAGGAAAGGGGAAGGCCTGTGGTTCAATGGCAGAACACACGTTGCATGCGGAAGGATCCCGTTCTGGGCATATCGAGGCAACATCAGGCTACGCTGATTGCTTTGCTTACTGGCTACCATTGAATATAATGTTTCCAAGCCAAAAAAGGGAAAAAAGCACAGTTCAGTCAGCACAGCTTGGCATCAGCAAAGGACAAAAGTATCTTAATTTTAAAAAAATTACAAGGCAATTAAAATAATACTAAGATAACATAGAAACATAGAAACAGAGCGAGTCAGAAGGGGTCTCCCGGGCCATCTAGTCTGACCTCCGGCACCAGCCGGCTCCTCTCATGACATGCCCACCATGTGGACGTCCAGCCTATCCTTGAACAGCCCACTGAGGGGGCCTCAACAACCTCTTGTGGAAGCCCATTCCACACCCTCGGGGTCCTGACTGTCAGGAAGTGCTTCCTGGCATCCAAATGAAACCTTGGCTCCCTGAGCTTTGCTCTGTTGGAGTGCGTCCTGCCTTCCTCTGCAGGGGAGAACAGGTCTCTACCCATCTCCATGTGACATCCCCTCACATACCTGTATGTCACCAACATATCCCCTCTGAGTCTCCTCTTCTCCAGGCTGAAGAGACCCAGTTCCCTCAGTCTCACTTCATACGGCATCCCCTGCAAACCGGCCACCAACCCTGTGGCCCTACGCTGCACTGACTCTAACCTGGCTATATCCTTTCTGTAATGAGGGGCCCAAAACTGAACACAATACTCCAGTTGCGGGTGCACCAGAGTCGTGTAGAGTGGTAGTAATACCTCTCCTGATCTAGAAGCCACACTTCTGGCTATGCAACCAAGGGTGGCGTTTGCCCTCTTGACCACCGCATCGCGCTGCTGACTCATGTTTAGCTATTTTCATATCCACCCATTTTCATCTTATTTCCATCTTGGATTTGTGTGAGCCATTACTTGTGTGCATCCAGGTTCCATCATCCACCCTCCCACCCACAAAAAGGGCAGATCAACAGGCTTGCAGGAGGTCCCCAGAATAGTTCGATGTGGACTGTTGGGGCCGAGGTTGAACAAAAAACTGGGGGTAGGAAAAGAACAGGATATCTCCTGTGCAGAAACATTTTCCACCCAGTATCCTTCTATTTCACATCATCATGGAATTCCATTAAATGGCTATAAAAACAATCCCCCTCTAAAATTCCAGGCTAAACAAAAAACCGCTCTCTGGTGCCAATATGATCATTTTCTAAATCATCTTGGCGTGTTACCTGCACAGGTATGAATACAATATAAACAAACATCCCAATGAGTGCTGTTGGGCCTAGGATGAGGCAGGAATAGATGGTACAGATGGTCATCTGCAGAGGGACGGCAAGGGGGAGAGGGCAAAATAAGGCCGCTTCGAACATTCGATACCCATCGTTGGCTACCAAATTGATCACCTGAAAGACACGAAGGTAGGGAACTGTCCATACAAGCACAGCAGCACGGGAGGATTTTCAAACTACTGCCAAACTTTGTCACAGCAGATCTGCGTAAACTCAACAGGGACATAAACCAGTGGATGTGTAGCTATCTCTCCATGGTTTCTGAGGCCAATCTTGTCACCTGAAAGGTGGAATATAGCCACCACAACTGGCTGCATTGGATGCTTGTACTGGGTGATCAGAATTTCAGAATGCCCACCCCTTCCTTTTAAGCCTTTAGCTAAAGAAGCTTTGCAAATTCAAGATCTCCAGGCAAGCAGTTGGATTCAGGGATACGGGCCTTCTGATGTCTTACTTCGCCAAAGGAGATGCATGTCAACGTCTTAAAGGCCAGCAGTTTCTCGTAAGCGATGGTTGACACGGCAACTTTTAGTCTGATGGCAGTGCGGTAGTTGATGGCCCAAGTCAAGGCCCAGAACATGACTTTGGAAAACTCTGTGCAAAAAAGCGCTATGCAGAGACCGATTCCTGTGACCAGATCTGTGGAGCCACTCTCATTGTACCGAAGGATGCTGTAGATGACCACCGTCTGCCAAGAAGCAAAAGCATCTGGATTATTCCGGGGAGAAGACAAGTGAGTGCGTTTGGTTGACACATTTTTGGAGCGTTCCATTTTAATCAGTGTGGAGCTGGATTGTGTTTCCGTCAAGCATTTAATCCTGTTTGAATGACTGGCTTTGTTTTCCAACCACTGAAGAAACATTGAACCTCTTTGCCAGCCTTCTAATGGATGGGACAAGATCTGGAAGTGTTGTCTTCTCTAGTGATTACCTTTTGTGCAGATTATTTGAACAATGTTGGGGTCTTGGGAGATCAGTTAAGGAACGTTTTATTATTGTTATTGTTGTGGTTGTGATTGATTCTTTTACAAAAGAACATCCACACAGAACTCATCCTTTGTGATCATCTGTTTCATTGTGATATGATCCAGGCATCTTCATCAAAACCAGCACCATGGCCTCCAAGTCAGTGCCCTTGTTAGACTCTTCAATAAACCAACCCTGGTCAAAATGATCCCCATCTCCGTGATCAGAAAAAAGTGAAGGGCCACGTACACAAATTTCCTGCCGTGCCAGAAATTCTCTGCTGTACTTGAGCCACATGGAGAAATTCTCAGCTCTCCGCAGACCCTCTGAATAAATCTACCAGTGGCCTGTGGACTGCACTTTGAACATTTCTGGTCGCATTGATTATTAACAGCTCCCCTGGATCCGTGGAAGGAGTGGCTACACTGTGGAGCTGTGCTACGGTCCTTCCTCTACTGCAGATTGGCTTTATCTCTCCTGAATTTGGACTAACACTTGCAAGCAAACAGAAATTTGAACCAACCCTTGCAAGCTCATTGGATAATTGGCTCCTATGCACAGGAGTTCTCCAAGACAGAACTCTTTCCTGGGTGGGCTACCTAAATTCTTTTTAGTAGCCCATTCCAGGGACCTGTCAGTGTGCTTCCCATGTACTCTGCTAGTGGATGAGTCCCCCCTTCTTGGAAAGCATGTTTAGAAGTGTCCTCACTACTCACTGGTCCTAAAGCGCCAAAAATAATCCAGGTGAAGATTGCGAGTGTGTCCACCAAGATCCTTGTCCGCTGAAACTGGAACACCACTTTGCCCAGAGACGCCTTCTCTGGCCCAGCTTTGGCTAACTCTGCTTCCCAGAGGATCCTAAATCTGTTAAGAGCAAACCACGGCACTGCAGCTTTCATCGTTCATTTTCATCTTGTCTCATTTCATTTCCTTTTGTTTCATTCTGATTGATTTTGGGCCTCCCTTTAAGCACAGGAACCCCCCAAAGGCAGCATACAAGGGACATTTTAAAATAATTTTAAAAAGACAAGGACAGCAAGCAATAAAGAATAGAACATATAAAAAGAGATAATGCCAATAATAGCTAGAGCCCAGAGATTATGCAAAGAGAAAGCAGGGGAGGTCCCGGCATCTGCCCAAATACTGCTAATAAGGATCATCAAACTGGGTGGAATCAGAATGAGAACATTTGCACAGCCCACGTTCTGGCTAAATGTCAGCCCAGTGGTGCCTCGTGCTTTGAACTTAATTCATTTCATGAGGCAGTATTTGCTATTTAAGTTTACCAAAATGGACATTGTTTAGGGTCTGGGAATAGATTTATTCACTTTCTGTGATTTGTAATAGGGAAAATTAATTCGGACTTCTATTGATTCAGAGGTCAAATATCCTCTTGAAATGAATTAAGTTCGAAAAACGAGGCACCTCTGTGTTTTGATTTGCCTACTGCCTCTCTCCCCCGCCCCTTCTGGGGCTCTGATGGCAAGGAGTTACAAGCAGTAAAGTTTTGCACCCCGTTACTCTCCGCACCCTTAAGGACTGGAGGATGTCAACAGCTGTTTCTCCAGGTTCCTACAAGGAGCACTTTCCCAGAAAGGATGGTGTTGAAGCAGGTCCTACCTTTGGGCATTTGGTTCTGAACTATCATGATAAGAGAGAGGGGGCAAGGTGGCCACGTTGATGTTGTGCCGGTATCCTTGGAACATTAGGAATGAAATCCAAGAAAACGTGGCGAACGAGAGTAGTCCGGCATCATCTACTGGATTTGCAGCAGATCTGCACATAGAGGAAAAAAATTTGGGGAAGAAGATATAAGAACATAAGGAACATAAGTCATGCTGCATTGGACCATGGTCCTTCCAGGCCAGCAGGCTGTTCACACCCTGGCAAACCAGTTGCTCACAGGATCCTCCAAGCAGGATGGATACAAGACTTCCACCTGCCCGAGCTCCTCAGCACCTGGTGTATGCAGGCATGCCACCTCTGGCAACTCCTGGCCAACACGGTTAGCAGCCATGGAAAGCCTCCTCCTCCATCAGTTTGTCCAGTGCCCTTTTCAAGCCACCCAAACTGGTGGCCATCACTACTTCCTGTGGCAGTGAAGTCCATCGTTTAACAACAAGCTTTAAACATTCAGCAGAAGCTCACCATACTCCAGGTAAGCCTGTTTTTCCATCGAGTCAATTGTCTACTTTCATGGGCACTCAGAGCTTTCACCTGCGCAGTAGCTCCTACCTGAGTCTTTTTCCTGAAGATGCCTTGGACTGAACCCAGGATCTTCTATGGACAATGTACTCCCTAAACTGGTTCCTTCCTCCCTCCCTCCCTTTCTAGCTTTCTAGCTATCTAAAGCTTTTATATGCCATCCAACTACTAGCCTCGGGCTGGCCCTACATAGGTTATAGACTTCGGCTCTTGATGGTCCCTGCTGGCAGGGCCAGTGACAGGGAAACCGGGAGTCCTTAGCACATCTGGGGGAAATCTGGCCCGCTAAATGTCAGCCCCAATATCTGACCCACACTTCCATGACACCCTTTGCTTCCTTTTCCCCTTAATTTTTTAACAGTCTGGAAGCAGGCAGTGGGCTACATAAATGGCTCCACTTGTTCATTTTATTTATTTGTAGGTTGCCTAGGTATATCTCCGCCATTCCCAATCTGATCCTTCCAGATGTTTGGGACACCTGGCACCCTTTCCCCATGGGTCATGCAGACTGGGGTGTTGGGACTCAAAGTCCAAAATACCATTTCATTCCTGCGGCCCTGATCCTGCAACAAGTTCGGGCAGTCAGAGTGCAGAACCGCATGTGCTGAGCCCGTTGCATGGCTGCCACTTCGAGCAGAATCAGCAAACCGTTCTGCCCTCCGCACCCACCATCTTCCTCACATACAAGGAATCCAGAAGCAGTTCAAGGACATGGGGCGGCAGCAGGAGGAAGGAAGAGGAGGAGCCTGGGAGTCGTGTGCTGTGCCATTAGACCGATACACTTGGCCATCTAAATGGGAGACCCCGTATGTCTTCAAACCACTTGAGCATTCAGGATGAAGAACGTGCCGTGTCCATCCAGTCATCCCAGGGGGCGTATCAGAAAATGCTCCTCTCAGCTTCTCCCCCAGCACTGAATCACACGTGTGGCATGTTTGCCCTTGAGCAAAAAGTTGGGTGTTAGGCAGTGTGTAACTCACAATTTCCTGGCCTCCTCTTGCTAAATGGCTCTCTGCCTTTCCCTGCGTGCTGCCTTCTGTTGCTCGCAACTGCTTCCCACGACAACAGTGTCACAGTGACTCTCATCAAAAGTGGAATGCATTCCTTTTCTGCTGGCAGATGTTGTCCCCCATGCTAGTCTCCCAGTGACCGTTTTTACCCCATTATCTTTTAAAATTAGGAAGCATATTTTATCTAAGCCCTTTAAACATATGGCCAAATAACATTTTTGTTTGCATTTTGTTTGATTGCCTATCTATAATTTTGTTTATAACGGTTTTATTTACTTGATGCAGAGTTATATTTTGTCAGTACTGTATGCATGGATCTTGAGGCTTGTTATGACTTGTGGAAATGTACTGCAGACTCTCTCCTCCTCTTTGCTTGGAAGAACAGCCCTTTCCTTAAAAAGCCCTCCTGTAGATCTGCTTTTTGCACAACCTTTTCTTCTATTTTCCCCCAAAAACATTTTCTAGTCACGGGGTGCACAGCTGGGCATGTAGCTGGTTAGAGACGCTCATTTCATAATGTTCCATTCTTTTTTTACTTTTAAAATAGCCTCTTCTACTGGAACTGGAACTGCGTATTCCCAATTAAATGGGTTGCGCATCAGGGCAGAAGCGGACTCCATGTTATTATTGCACTCACGGGGGTGTTAAGAGTTCAAGGGGTTTAATATGTAAAACTACACATTATTGGGGTGCTTTCCCCCCTAAATCAGAGCTTGCAAACTGTCTTTTTTTTGCCTGTTGCTCTAATATGACAGGAAAGGAGAAGCTGTTAGACGGCGTGGGATGCAGGTGAACTTGAGAAGAGGAGAGAAGTATGTACCTGGCAAAAGAGGTCATGCACATGACCATCTAAAGGGCCCACAATTTCCTAGGGTCACCCTGTGCCAGCAGCTTGCTGGCCTTTTCTCTGTCTAAACTGGCATGGGATCGTCTCCTTGTTCTTTAGTCCACACCTGTTCCTGGAACCATCTCGGGACAAGAATCCAAAATGAACATAGATTCTCCCACTGTTTACCAGCCAGGGACCTGGCATCCTACTTTAAAGAGCAGAACTCCCATTTTAGAGCTTTGAAAGGAGACAGTCCTCTGTTTGCAGGTGTTCTTCATTTGCAGAACTATCCTGCACAAACCTGAGCTAAAGCCCGAGAGCATCCATCAACTGTGAGCAGGGCTTTGGCAACAGACCGATCACCCTTCCTGCCTTCACCACTGTGGTGAGATGCTCTGTATTTCTGTTTAAATCATAGTATTCTGTCTAATGAGAAGGAACACCAAGAAGATGCTGGGAATGATTGATGGCAAAAGGAGGAGGAGACGGCAGAGGTTGAGGTGGCTGGATGGGGTCACTGGGGCGGGGCGTGTGGGCTTGGGTGGACTCCAAGGGATGGTGGGGGACAGGACCAGAGAGCCTGGAGGAATGTCATCCATGGGGCCGTGATGGGTCGGGCATGACTTTGCAGCTAAACAAAACAAAAAAAATTGCCTAAAATGAGATCCATACATTTGATTTATGAAGGCGCATGTTATGCAAAGCTTTCCTCCTCGTTTTCACCAACATGCTTCCTGTATTTTGGCCGTGCAAAAGGATCCAGCCTTGTTTCCCCCGTCAAATTTGCGGCCCTTTGCAGCAAGGACCTCTCCTCTCATACCCTGCAAAGGGCTGTGCCCTTGTCTGGCAGCACACAAACGAGCCAGACCCACGGCTTCCCACCGTCTTTTCCAGGCTGCCTTGTGATTCGGGGCATTCTGCTTGCCGGCTTCTGCTACTTGCCTCGCCTGCAGCCGGACAGGGATCATGGTCCTCAAGCTTGGGGAATATTTCTGGTGGAAGGTCCTCTTTTCATCGCCTTGCTCAAGGTCAAGAGGATGCAGGTAATGCTCTGAGGCCATCATCACGCTGGTCTGAAGGTACCATGGTTCGCTGACCTCAGCCAGGTTTCTCTTTGAAGTAAAAAGGGAGAGCGAGAGAGGTTGTTAATTTTAATGACTTTTCTTTCAAGTCTTCATCAAGTTGCTTTTGCTCCCAAAGGAGACCAGGGATGTTCTGCAGGCACCCAGAGCTGCTACGGTCGATGCCCCACCCCGCCTCAGTGTATAAATCTGTTCTAATTTTGTGGATGGAAAGAATGGTTTCACCTTAGCAGGTGAAGCAGGATTCTTGATGCCCTCTGGAAATCAATGATATTATGCTGTTGGAGGAAGGAAGGACTCACCTGGGATGCAGTGGACCAAGGACCTTACAACACTTTGAATGGGAGGTGTAGAGACACCATCTTCGAAGGGAGAATTACCTGGATAGATGGACTCACTTCTTGTTATCCATTCACTCCTTAGATGTACACCCCGCCTTTTTGCTTACAATGAATGCAAAGTGGCTTACATCCTCCTCCTTCTCCTGCCATCTTATCCCCACAACAACAGCCCTGTGAGGTAGGCCAGGCTGAGAGTTGGTGACTGGCCCAGTCACCCATCTGGCTCCATGGCTATGGAGCCGATGTATAATTGCTAGGCAGTTGTATGCATTTTATGCAAATTCATCCATTCATATTAAAATGAATTATATCTTCTAATATTAGTAATGAATTCGGTGCAGGAGAATGGCAAGGAAGGGGGACACGCTTGAAAAAGCGGCCATGCAGAAGGCAGCTAGCTACAGGAGTACCTGCAGGTACCTTGGGAATACCAAAAGCTGGAGCTGGCCCTGGGCACGAGGACTGTCTCTGTAACCCAGCACTGGGCACCCGGCCACATTTTCGGAGGACCCAGGAATACGGTGTGAGAGAGGGCCATGCAAGGAGAAGTTGCTCAGCACCCCCATCCGCCCCAGGGCTTAAATGGCAGTCAATCCATCAGAGCAGGGCTGGGAAGGAGAGGTGATGCTCGGACAGCACTTCCAGCAGAGAAATGGGGGCAGCGGCCAGGTTTGCAGCCCCTTCAGCGAATAATCCATTATCCTGCGTTATTTGACCATACTGGGCAGCCTGCTATTCCGCCCATTGCCCCCCCCCCCCACCCACTCCCGTGCTTTGTCCGTAAGTGCTTTGGTACTTATCTCTTCTCTTTCTCCTCCATCTCTGCTAAAGGTGGCTCTTGACACGAAAGATGGGATTTTCCTCCTCTTTTCACTGCTCGCTTAGTTCACTTCAGCCCAGAAGGAAGCTTTGCCTGGTTCTTCCCAACCAAATGAGCTTTTCTCTCTCCCTTTCTTTCCAACTGCCGCCTCAACAGTCAATCGGAACCGGTAAGGAGCATTCCGACATGGGCCGTCTTTGGCACTCACCTCTGTTCAAGGAAGACCCCTCCAAACACGGATCCAAAGCCTGGAATTCCACCCCCGTTTAGCTTTCAAGGTCCAGCCACTGGACAAAGCCCTCGGATGGTGCACCGGAGCTGAGTAAGAAGGGACAGCTCCTGTGTTGGCACTGGCTTTCGTAGCATGCGCTCCAGGGCTTTGGTTGAGGACAACCATATTCCCCCATTGCTGAATGAAAACAGGACTGATGGATCAGCCAATTTTTATTTGTTTGTTTAAAACTTCTCTATACCGACATCTTGGGGCAGTTTACAACAGATTAATAAAATAGAACCATATAGAAATTTTCAATAGAAAATAGAATAAAAATAGAAATAGGAGTAGCAGTCGCACAGCATCCAATGTTAAATATAAAACCACCAATTAACACAGTTTAACAATTAAAATATTGGGAGAATAAAAAGGGTTTTGCCTGATGCCGAAAGGAAAGAAGTGTTGGCATCAGGCGAACCTCTCTAATATGCATGTTTTTACTGGAAATCCGTTTTTTTAAGCATTTTATTCTCTCTCAGCATTTGTTTGCATTTGCTGTTCAGCACTGTTGTGAGATGTGAAAATGCTGCAAATGAAGAAAGCACGGAATAATAACAATTCCAATAAAAAGTAAGGAGCGAAGTGCATCTATGCATGAAAATATTATTGTATTGCTAGTTGCAAAGTTGTGTCTGTGAATCTATGTCTTCTTTTCTCGTGTTTTTGCAGGATGCATTTCCTCTTTTTTGGTACTGCAAATGTGGTCACCCTTCACCCGAATTATCCACTGCTGTGTCTCAGGCATGCAAACACCTGCCACCCCCCTTCAGGCAAGACAAGTGCCACTTTCTCTATTTCTTGTTCAGTCTCTCACTCAAAACAAGAAAGATTTTCCACTGAACATCTTAGACTGATTCCAAATTATCTGCCTAACAAAGGAATCATTGTCGAGCAGTAATAGATGTATTTGACAGGGCAAACCACTGGCTTCATTTTTCTTCTTATGCATCTTTTCATCAGCTTTGTTATTTTCTGATTCCAAAATATGCACACTAATTTTCCTGGACATCTTCCTTATAAAACCACATACCTGGCTTTGTCAGAAAAAGGATGGAAAGTAAAAAATGAAAGACAAACATTATCCAGAATCACTATAAAGAGAAAAATGCTTTGTGGAACAGCATAGAGATGATGAAGATGAAGATGATATTGAAGATGATCAGAATTGCACCAAAACTGAAAAGATCAGCGAGAATAAATAAAGGCAGACAGATTCTGTGATATGGGAATTTATCCTTTGACCCTCAGATTCAGTTTGTATTAAAATAAAGAAAACCATTGATTGGTTGAAAAGTTTAAAGTATTGGGTTTTTACTTATGTATTTATACCCCGCCTTTTTTTCTTACAATGAATGCAAAGTAGCTTACATCGTTGTTTTCTTCCTTCTCTCAATCTGATCCCCACAAAAAAACCCCTTTGAGGCTGCTGCTCCCCAGAACAGGGATTCCAAGACACACTGGTCAGATCCTGGAAATTCTACAAACCCATCATTATTTATTTATTTTATATCCCACCTTTTTTCTTCCAAAGAACTCACCGTGGCTTACATCATTCTCCTGCTGCTCTCTGTCTTATCCCCACAACAGCCCTGTTGGGTCGAGAGTCTGTGACTGGCCCAAAGTCACCAGTTGGCTCCATGGCCAAGCGGGGACTAGTACCAGGATCTTCTGAGTCCCAGTCCCATGTTCTTAACCACTGTGCCACATGGGCTCTCATTGCTGGGTTATGTGATCATGAGCTAACCAATCAACCTCAGTGCACTCATAATTCACCTTCACTTACTGCGCTTCGAAAATGCTCTCGAGTGAAGCAGCACTTCTGCTTTCTCAGTGCTCCTGTTGGAGAAGACACGACTGTCTGGGCTTTTTGAGGGATTCATCCAGAATGATTTCAGCCTCACATTTCTGCTGGGAGGATTCACCTCCAAGAGACCTGCACTGTCCTGAGCAGCAAATCTGTCTCGCCTTGCAGACAGATGTTCCCAGCTATGTTGGAGGGAAAGAAGTATTTATTTTGTTTGGTACCAGCATGAAAGAGATGATTTCAGGGTTAATTCTTGGTTGACAAGCATCTCTGGCTGGAGGAGGCCTTGGCGTGAATTCTGCGCCTGGAGCATACACAAGCAACTGCTGCTAATTTCCAATCCAGCTGGAAACAGGTTTTCTTTCAGGCCAGGTACAGAAATGATGGAGGACTAAATTGCAGATACTACACACAATTGGGTGTGTATGTTTGTGGCGGGGAGGGAGTTCTGGAGGTTGCTGGCTGTTCTTGTCACTGCAAAGAAGCCTCTGAGGCTCTGCTTTTCATTTTATCTATTAATTTTATTAATTTACGTTTTCCCTGATTGTATATACTGTGTTTTATCTTGCTTATTTATTATAATATTTAACTGTATTAACTGTATTATGTTATTATTTTATTTATTAACGTTCTTATTGACATTTTATTGTAATACCCACCCAGAGAGCATGATGCTAATAGGCAGCTTCTATGCAAATTTAATAAATAAACAAATAACTAATAATCAGGATCAGAAGAGCAAAGCCAAAGAGAGAGAGTGAAACTCTTCAATCTGCTCAGAATCAAGTCTGTATCTCAGAGAAGGAAATACATGTTACCATATTATGGTTTTTTCTCCCCTAATATGCTTTCCCCTCCTTTTTGCTGCGGAGCCAAAAAGGACATCTAGTTGGAACAGCATCAAGAGCCACCCCCTCCCCCATTTTTAACTCTCCTCTCCAAATATTCTCTCTCCCCAAACCTTTTTGGTTAACCTGTGCCAGGATGCTGCTGCTATTGTAAATTCTGAACTTTCCTTAAGCATAGAGAGCAACTCTTTGCATCCCAGGAGAAATTAAAGGAGTCACTCAGGTGCACCATGGGAGAGTTCTAGCTTCCCCTGCCCCATTAACCCTCCTTCCCAAACATCACTGGCACATTCTCCACCTGTATGGCAAAGGAACAGTTATCCGTGGATCCTGTCACTTGACCTACAGATTTGCAATGCAGGCAGCGCTGCAAGTCAAGCGCGATCAGAATTGTGGAGAGCAAGTTGGACTATCTGGTGTCCTCCAGCTCTTTTGACCTACAAGTCCCATCAGTCCAAGCTAGCATGGTCTTTCTTTAAGGTTTATGGGAGCTGGAGTCCAAGATACCTGGACTGAACTTCAGTTTCGTAAGGAGAGCTCTGAAGCCTGCACCAATGCTAGTTCGTAATCTTTTGCATAATAAAAGCTCCCGGGCTCAACTTCCAAGCCACTGACTTGTCTGCGGAGAGACAAAGGTCATTTCTCTCCAGCTGCTGTGAGGATTGCTGCAGGCCTATCTAGTCCAGAGTTCTGGTCACACAGTGGCCAAAGGAAGCCCAAAAGAAGGACACGAGGACAACGGAACATTCTAGCGCACATGCATGAAGAACTGGTATTCTGAGGCATCTTGCCTCAGGTATTGGAAAGAACGTCCTGCCACCTGGAGCAGATGTTCTTGGTGTCCTCCATCGATGTTTAATCCACCTTTAAGGCTGTCCATCTTGTGGAAGCAAATTCTATTTACTGCCTGGGCCTCCTTTGTACATGGGAATACCCCACTGGTTCCAAGTTGCTAATCTGTAGCTTCTTTTGCAGCAGCAATGGGCAGAAACCAAATCTCCGGATGCTGTTCAGAATGCCTTCCCCAGACGCCGTGCACGCAAATACGGTGCTCAGCATCTGTGGCCTACCTCCACATATCAGCTTCACAGAAAACTGAGCTGGTGGCAAGAAAGGGGAGGGCCTTCTCTGTGGTAGCCCCCAAATTATGGAATGATTTTCCCACTGAGGCCTGTCCAGCAGCACATGGAGGCGCGGTGGCTCCTCTCAGCTGATCTTTTTTAGCAGGTATGGACTTGTTCCAATTGTTAGCCATCAAAATACTGTTTAAAATGTTTAATCTAATATTGTTGTGTTTTCTTATTTTTCATCGTGTTTTAATGCATTTATTAATTGCTGTTCACTGGCCAGAGATCCTCAGCTATTGGGCAGTACAGAAATAAAATTAATAATCATAAATGAGACTGGAAGTTCAGAAAAGGAGTTCGACATAGCTAACATTCTGGAATTAGTAGTCAAGCATAACAAAATCACTTTCCTAGTTCTTGACAAATATTTCTAATTCTCCATCAAAACTCCCGCATTTTGGAAATGCCACAACTAAGTATGCAAAAAAGACATGCAAATCGGACTAAATTGCACAGTTTATTCTGAGTGACAAGAAGCGTATCTTTTTGGCACAGCGTACATGGTGTGCCGATTAGCAAATGAGTGTGAAAGTAGCATTATTAGTCATTCTTTCTTTTCTTCTTACTGATTTGGGAAATTACACACTTTGTCTCTTTCACTTTGGTCATTAGTGTGGAGGATATTTATTTAAAATGACGACAAGACAATTAGCGAGAGAAAGAGAGGGAGGGAGAGAAAGAGCGAGAGAGAGCCTGCCGTAAAAGAGTGGAAATAATTCACTGTTCCCAGAACGTGTTCCGCAGCAGAACACCTGAGATCCGTTCAGAGAAAATCACAAAGAACAGAAAATGAGTCAAGCTTTAATTCAGCAAAAAAGTTCAGATGAATTAGTATTTTTCCCCAAAAAGCAAAAATCTTTCCCCCTAACTTTTCTGTAGATAATACTACCAAGAGAAAGCGCATATTCCAATTACTTAAGGAAAAACTGATATGGTCCAAGTTGGCCTGATAGTGCAAAAACAATTAAAAGACCTGTTGCATCTTAAAGACTAACAAATTTATTCTGCCATAAGCTTTGTGGATACTTGTGCATCATCAGATGCAAGAGGGAGATACAGCAAGAAACAGCAAGCCTTGGATCACAGCATGAATGAGAAATTTAACCCCTGAATGTTGATACCAGCTTAGGAGAGATACAGAAATCTGTTGAACTGTTGCATCCTGGACCCTCTAAAACTAGGGTGAAAGAGTGGACTGAAAATAGACCTTTTGGGGTGAAAGAGTGGACTGAAAATAGACCTTTTGGGGGAGAAATGCCATAACCCCCAGTATCATTTTCACTGATGCCTGAGTTAAGTATGAGAGCACCTGAAATCCCTCAGCTCTCGGAAAGAGGGTGTAGGAACATAACAATACTTTCTGCAAATGCCATCTTTGCCACTGGGCCAAGCAGGATCTGAAATCGTCATACCATGATTTGGTGGA